TCAATAACACATGCAAGATCAATATGTTATATATTTTAAATTCTAAAAGTACCCTGAGAGGCTCGTTACTTAAAGTGAAATCAAGCAATTGATAAAGCCTCAAAAGGATTTAAACTGATTAAAAATCACCTTGCTGCAAATATACAGGATTTTATGTTGAACTTTTTTCTGACTGAATACTTTGATATGATATCAGAGAGACAAAAACATATGATGATGAAAATATCAAATAATAGAAGCGTGTTTTAAAACTACATTATTAATGAATGAATGAAAAATGGTGACATTAGTTAATTACTACCAAGTGTCATACAATCCATCAGTTCATCTGCCCCAAGGCAATGACATTGCATAAATTACAATCCCTGTATTAAGTATAGTGCATACAATGTATTTATATAGTAAAACATGTACATGTTTGTTAAAAATTAAATTTACTTGTTATGATTACCAATAATTAATGAAATAGGTAATATTTTTCAAAATTTTATATGAATATTTGTCAGTTTTGGTGGTATATACTATAATTCAAAATCAAATTATTTTGTTAATAGTATGATGAACCCCCCCCCCCCAAACAGAAAAAACTGTCTTTACTTCAAACCTTCAAAGCAAAGGAGACCTTTCTTCAAGATCATCTTCTTCCTAATTTATTTATATGCCAATTAATTTCTCAGTATTTTGTAAGTGACATTAACCCATCAGTTCTCCCTGTTTGTAACTGATGGGCCATCGGTTCAATGATTAATAACATCACCGTAACATGAACATTGAATAATACTTCATCTTAAGACAATGGCAGAGTGACTCAATTCTATGGGGCAATATAACCATCAATCTCTTCATGGTCCATTCCTCTTGGATGCCTGATTAATCAATTGACGGGACAAGTTAATTAGAGAAAGTTGGATCGAGGGAAATAGAGCACTAGATACATTGCCTTAGTGGAAAATCAAAAATTGTTTATTCATCAATGAAATATTTATCTCAATCGGTCTGTTCAGATCAGTTTTTATTTGATTTTCTGATTTTTATATTGGTTCTATGATACAGGAGTCTGTATCGGAATTCTGATTGTCTCTTTAGCCTAAAATATATTTTAGATATTGTACAAAGCATGTATGATCATTAATTATGTCACTTTATAGTAGTATGCTGGAAATTGGAGAACTTTCATTTACATGTCCATTAAAACCAGCCCTTATTAGAGGGGGGGGGGATTCAATCTTATTAGAGGGAACCCATGACACAAATATTGAAAAACTTGCCATCAAAAATATAAGAATCTTTTAAAACCTGTAGTGTATAAAGAAAATTCCATTATGCCATGTTTTAAAGAGTTCAATAAATGTGTATTTGAATTCATCTTAATATAATTAATTACCATATGTGCCACGGAACACTAATACATACACAATATTACATATAACATAATGTATAATATAAATCCTGTTGTTACAGCTTTATAGCTAGCTGAATGTCATATCAATCTATCCCCTCCCATTATCTAATATCAACATTTCCTCTATTAATTTGCTCGTATTACATATGTATGTTTCTATGACATAAGAGCTCGTATCATGTCTCCATACCTTTTGCATACATTGAAGATAACGATAGGTGACCAGATAATGCTTTATCTCCCATTATCTTGAAGATGAAACCTTTCGACTTGAAGGAAACAATATGCCAAAGAGCTCTCTATAGAAAATAAGACCACAGCACCGGACAAATCAGTCATTTGTCAAGAGAATATTTCAAAATGTTTGGAAAATTGTCCGAAGATTTATTGGTCTGCTTTGCTTACCACAATATTTTACTGGTTGGTTGGGTGATTGTGATTGGTTGGCAGGTTGGTTGGCAGGTTGGGTGAATGTGATTGGTGAGTAGGTTGGTGGCTTGGTTGATTGGTGATGCCACAGTTAAGTACCCAAATGAACTATTTCCCATTTTAGGAGCTTTTTAAATTATGTAGACCAGATAATAAAAATATTTTATTTCCTCCATGTACTGAGATGTTGATATTCCTAAAGGGTTGTCACAACATCATAAATCATAATGAATTAGCCTTTATATTCAGTCACGACTCTGGTATCATATTATATTGTTGTCTGTATCTCATGTAAAAGCAGTGATCCAAACATTAACACATTCTGACTTGGTGCCACACCCAGAAATAATTACCTTGCATATATTACAGGTAACTCAACTTCCAAACGCCACCCTTCTGTGGAGTTGGAATAAGCTCAAGGGCTAAATTTTATAGATGTGCAGCCCCACAAATTTCAGTTGGGCTTTCAAGCCATTTATAAGATATTCAATCAGCCAAAAATTGATATTTAAATATCTCACTTTTAAATAAAACTCTTAAAAGGGTAACCGATAATCAAATAAACTATTCCATTTGAATTACATGAAATGTTTGAAGATTCAAAACAACTTTTATAGTGATAGTTAACGCAATAGCATATCCTCCATCTGGATTGTTTAAACCTGGAGAGCATAATGACATTATTTCCTTTGATATCTTTCAAATTAGATTTCTCACAGCAAAGGAGATTTCCTTATCCCCTTTCACCGCAACAGCATTCATTATATCTCAGATAACTGAAGCCAATTCAGCATACGCTCTTGGAATATACTGACAGAAAAAATACTTCTTTGTGTTCAGCAGAGCTGATGACTCACTGTAGCATATAACAGGCACCATGGTTCTGATTTGCAAGTCAACTTTGATGCAGTTATTCTATGTAGCTAAGAATAAAATAATAAAAATGCCTGGGAGGGAGTGGGGGTCATAACTTGGTAAGGAGATAGGGAGACTTGGCAAAGGGGATGCATCTGGCTAAGACTTCTCCTTAGGGAGACAATGGGATGCAGTTGGTGTGGTATCATATAGTTTCACCTAAAACAGACCAATCAACATTATTTGCAAAGAGATACCTCAACTTCAGTGACACAGAAATATTCTGGTATTTTCTTCCTTATTGCGCACAGCCTGAATACAAATCTACAGATAGTGAAAACTAGGAAGTAATTACAGTGCACAAAGTATGACGCATTATTACAAGATCAACTTTAATATTCCTGTAAAACCTGTGTAAAACATACAACAAGTACAATTAACTATCATCCCCTATGATTTCTAGAGCTAGGATTAGAAATGTGATGCAGCTAACATTTAATTAAGTATACTAAATGATGTAATAAAATGCTAGAGACAATTTGCAATAAAGACGCATTATAATTAGAGAGCATATTGCAATCAACAAACAGATGGGACATGACCAGGATGTATCTAAAATATCACACTTAGGGACTCAAATTTTCTCAAGAAATACAATTATGATGCTAGTCGGAAAGTACATTATAGATTTTTCCCATTGACTTCTAAATGAACAGCATCTTTGCCAATATATGATTCAATCTCAATCACCATGCATTTGTTCCTCTTTATCTTTTTAACATATTCTATTTAATTTCAATGTGTATGTAACTGACAAGAATATAATAAGGGTTTCATTTACATTTTTGGCCCACATTGTATGACATACATTCAAAATGCTTAACTAAGTTTGGGAAAATCATCTGCAGTGAATATCTCTTGTGCTAATAATTCTTCTATTGGATCACTAATATTAAATAGAGCATCATAGCAGAAACTAGAAGCAGTCTCAATAATATGGTTTTTGGACAATTCCACTGTGTATAATTTTAATCTCAATAAATTCATATTGTATTTTGACATTTGATTGTTCCCTTTTGGCCTGCTATACTTCTGGGAAAACATAAGATTCAACTAGAACATAATATTTACAAGGGTAAGTATATCTTGATACATTTCAGGATCAATCAGACATAAGACAACAATATCTCAATTTTAGCATAAAATTGAGAGTATAAACAAAAGGAAAATTAAATTAAATAGGTCACTTTCACCTAAAATAATAAAATAAAAATTGTTATAATTTCCAACTTTATTATTCCACGGGGCATGAAATTCAGACATCAACTTGTAGAAAAATCACCAGAATAATGCCACAAGGGTACAATAATATGAACATTGGATAAATCAATGTCAGTATGCAGAGTCTTTGGAAAACTCAATTAGATGTACGAATTTGTCCCAATATTAGTTCTACATAGCTTAACAATAGCCAGAGCCAGATATAAGTAGAGAATTAAGTACAGTTGATATTATCATAAATGATGCAAAATGTCCAGGATAATCCCTGAGGTAATGTGACTCAGGGTTATAAAGATGTTGTTATCAAAACCACTAAACAGACATATTTCGAGGATTTCAATTCTACATCATATTCTTCAATGACAATCGTTAGAGTAACAGTATCATATGGCCAACTAGCTAAGTTATAATGAGCTCCCATTTACTTTAATTGTTTATATGGGTCTACAGTGTTCACTAACAATAACACTTCTCAAATAAAAACCTCAAAATACAAATTGGAGAGCACCAATACATCGCAACAGAATATGTTTACATCAAGAAGATGTCAGAAGATGCTTCTCAGTACAACAGCATGTGTTTTACTCATCATCTCAATTTTGTATTACTGCATATGCGTAACAGTTTGATGACCATCATGTCAGTCAATGGTGTTGCGTCAAACACGTATAAAATGCCAAGGCGTACTCTCAAAATTTAGAGAAAAGTTGATCATTTATATTGAATTGGCCCGCACAAAATAATAAACACTAAAACTTTTAACTGACAAATCATAATTGTGCCGATTGTTTGAACTGATGGCCTGAAATCACCAGAAACCTAAAATCTAGATGATGGGTAGGGATACATGTATTTATATCAAGGTAGATCTATCTTAGCCACCTTTATACAACAATGAGACTAAAATATACCCTGGAAATATACGAAGAATAATGCTCGTGTTACGGCAGAACTGCAGTCCTTTCTTCATTGTAACAATGACAATAACAATTAACTTATAAACAATTCTAGTATACAACTTTTATTTACTTACAGCTTAACTGCCCGAGCCATTTTACGTTCAGTCCAAATTTCGAGATTTCACTGTGTTGCTCAATACTAAGTCCGTTTCCAAATCTATTGGCCACAAGTTCTAGATCATGTGAACAGCTGATTTTCTTTGTTAATCCATTTGGCAAAAAATCAAATGTAAACATTGACTTCAATCGTCTATTTCATGGAACATATGTCTATCAAATCATTAAAAGTACATTTTTGTATTAGTTATATATTTCACCGTTCGATTGATATCAGGTAGCACCCAACCTGTGACATAGTCTGTGTGAAATATTGATATAAAGAGCACTCCTAAGTTTCGTCGACTTATTCAATCTGTTTTTAACTTCCGGTTAACCTAAATTGACCAACCAATCAGATAGATCGTTGGAACGTAACTTTTTAAAGATTTATGAAATGTCATTTTTTTCATTAAAACGTTAAATAGACAGAATTGTAAGTATAGATTTAATTGTTTGATTGTTTTATATTGCAAATGATATAGAGAGGCTTGTTTTGCTATCAAAAGTTCAATCATAATCTCCTAAATACTGAAATTATGATGTTTTTACTGCAAACCAATTTCAATTTTTATTTTTTTGAAAAAATCAAATCAAGTGTTCTCCATTTGAATCAATGTGCTTTCTGTATTTCAGTTGAAACTGCTAACATGACACAGCTGAGCAAGCAAATTGCTAAAGGAGTTGTTCTTGTTGCCGGATCAGTAATTGCTATTCCATACTCAATAGCAGTTCTTTGTAACATTTTGTATGGTTGGCCAACTGGGCCAGAGAAATACAAGAGAGCTTTACATCCTAAGAAAGTCTATGCATTGAACTATGCAATTTTACAACAATTTGGAAACTTACGATATGCAGAATTATTCTTTCGGTGGAAATATTTTTATTTCAATGCTTCATTATCTAGAGTTATCAAGGTAAGTTTCAAAAAGTCTGATAAATATCATTATATAGCCCAATGCACCTGGCCTATTGCTGACAGATTGGTGGCAGAATTTGAATATGCACATCTGCTGAATCATGAATTTTGATTATTTTGAGTGAATTCAACAATTTTTCTGAGAATGCATCCCACATATGAGGACTGTAAAAAAACCCTATTGTTTTTATGTTAGATACTATCCTTCATCATTTTCAGTAAACTCTCTCACTTTCTGTTATGAAAAATACAATTCATGTTAGCCCATGAACACATTCATTTTATGTTTTCAGCTATTTTACTTGTAATTTTTCATTTTTTGCTATTTGTTTTCACATATGTCATTGCCATTGTCATACTCTAGGTCCTCTTGGTTTTCAAGAAATTGACAATTGAAAAGGTCACAATTTGGCAAAAGTTCACTGTTAGGAGTGGATAGATATATTGATTGATTTCAGTAACTTTTAGTTGCAGGGGCTATGAGTTATATAGGGAAAACATTGGGCAATAGAGTAGATGCGAGATATACAAATATTCAAAATTCAGTCAAAGAAATGTCATATTTGAAATCTACAAGTAAAAGTACATCTAGAAATATGGTTTCAAAAATTGTTTATCAACTTTGAAATATTTTTTTTAAACTGTGACTTCTTGTTCTGGGAGATTCCCCATCGACCCCATTTTATAAAATCACAAAAAGTGAAATATCTTTTCTTGTATTGAATATTTTCTTTTACTGGACATATTTTAATTTGTGTAACTATTAGATACGTAAGGGTGATATGAAAATCGAAACCGCATAGGGGAGGCATCAAAAGTTCGATGTCGGATAGAAAACTAAATAAATCTAGTTAGGGGGGAGGGGGTTCAAACCCATTTCAGTTTGCTATCCGACAAATTTCAACATTTCAAATTTTCGGCAATTTAGACTCAGAATGCCTTGGAATTGTTTTAAAAAAAGATTTTACCTGCTGCTTTCTTCGTCAAGATCATTCTAAGTAGATGGATTCTATCAATAGTTGTTAAAAGCTACAAATTAGGTAGGAATTAACAAAAACTAGATCGTGTTTAGCGATGATTTTTCAAATTCTCAAACCGGAAGTCAGTGATCAACTTTCATGGTATTTAGTTTTGGGGGGAGGGGGGGGGTCAGAGTCAAAACTAGATTTATTTAGTTTCCGATCTGACATCGAACTTATGATGCCTCCCCTTAAACAGATGAATATTTAAGTTAAAGGGTACTTTCTACTATACCCGCCATGCTATCTGATCCGAACAAGCCATCTGGTGGTAAAACTGGTAACCATCTACTCGCATCTGAGTTATTGATGATCTCATTACAAAAAAACTGCCTCATTACAAAAATATAGAGGTCATTAACTGTGATAACAATGGACAATGGGCACCCTTATGATCTTTACCATTATGGCTTTGCAGGTTTCATATTTGGGATGAATTTAAATTCAATTTTTCTAAGTTTTCATTTCAAAACTGAACACGTAAAAACTCTTTTTGTAAATTACTATTTCCTCATCACTCATTTAATGTGTTTATTTACCTGAATTAACATTAACAAGCCCATTGAATATTATTATAAATTAGGTATGAGTATTATATATTTATATTTGAGTTGTATTGACATAAATATACTGTATAATATTTGAATCTCCATTGGACTTAGCTCAGTTTTTCCTAGTTAAATACATTTATAACAGCTATGTAAATATTCATTAAATGTAAGTTCTAAACATAATTTAAATTATTTGTTATATTAATCATTGTATATTATTTTATCAGGAGACACTTTAACCTAATGTTTTCCTTATTTAGGATATTCCCTATGGTGTGAATGAAAATGCACTTGATGTGTATTTCCCACAAGGAAAGCCTATGGGAAGTACGGAATTACTTCCTGTTGTTATTTTCGTCTATGGAGGAACATGGGGTAGCGGCAAGAAAACCATGTACCCATTGCTCTGTTCACACATATCTGATCGCCTTGGCTGTATCGTGGTCTGTCCTGGCTACTCAACCTACCCAAAGGTAACTTAAGTTAAACCTTTTTTGTTTTATATATTTGGTTTAGGACATCAAGTACAGCCAAAATGATCGATTCTTGGACTTGTACTATCCTGCCGTGCCTTCAGACAGACCCCGCCCTGTTGTGATGTTTGTGTATGGGGGTGCTTGGGGGAGCGGGAATAAGAGCATGTATGGGCTTTTAGCAGCAAGCATTGCCGATAAGCTTAACGCAATAGTCTTATGTCCTAATTATTGCATACACCCGCAGGTAGATTTTAATGCATTGTTCTTATAAACGTTATTCATGGCTAGTTCAGTATTTCATTGTTCTTGTTGAATAATCAGTTTTTATGTCCTCACCACTAGTTGGTAACATTTTTTTTATTGTGACCAACTTTTTTGTAGACGGTGTTTGGTAGTTGGTGTTTGGTTTGCGATTGGTGTTTGACCTCTGTATCAAATGGCAGGTGGTGACATTTTGCATGTTAATGCCTTTTTCATTATTTGTTATCATATATATTTTTTGCTTTATTTTACCTAAATGTTTAGCTAACTTGGTGCATGGCTATATATATATTCCATCTAAATTCTTGTAGATGCAATGTATTGTTATTAATTACATAGGTTTTAGGCTGATATATACAGGGTGTCAAATGGCGTTGTACCCCCCTTCCACAGCATTAACTAGGAGAAGTACACATACATTATATATATCATTAGAAAGAACATTCAATTCTGGATAAGATGAACCCTAGATGACCAGGGTCAGATATTGCTACAAAGTTTCATAAGCACTTGAAATGCACCAGTATAGTGCTATTTTTATTGATTTTTAAAAATTCCTGCATAGACCTTTTTGGTATTGGTGAATACCCGAGCAACAACTCTGACTTAAATGCTTCAGTTCAAATTGAGCCCATATTAATGGATAAAACAGAGCTACTTATGGAAGTTGAAGCTGTAGAGAACAGATATTCCATAAATATCCTCCAAGAGAACCTCAAAAAGTATTGAGATCTCTGCTCAAGACATTGCTCTTTTCAATGCCTTTTTAACTTGATATCCAGCCTGACTGGCAGCCGTTTAAAGCTGCGGGGGATGGCCAAACTCTCTTTTAAAACTTGGTTCAAATTATGTATTATTTTCTATCATCCATCTTCACCTTTTCACACTCTAAGAACAATTAAATGCTCTTTCCAATGGTATATAGTATGCATGTGTACCTCTTCTAGTTTATGCTGGGGATAGGGGGCACAACGCCATTTGACACCCTGTAGATGGCAAATGTGCAGTTTATATGTGGTATTTTCTCTCTTTTACATTTTCTTTATATTGTCACAAAACTCCTACTGTATTGCATTTACTGTATTGCATTTTTAAGGTTTAACCAATTTTAAGGTTTACATACAACTTGCCCCTTTTGTTTAGATTAAAAGAGACTTGGAAAGAGAACTGCAATATAGTCTAATGATTGATATGTTAAATGTATGTATATACCTGTGCCATCTTTTTATGTCTGTATAAATGTAAAACTGTAACATTACTACTGTTGTACTTGTGTTTGATAAGGGATTTATACATTAAGGTTCACAATTATAAAATCAGACACAAAATTTGTTATCACATCGGCATTATGAACTGTACTGAAGCATAATTTTTACAACATTTATTCTGATTATGTTTTTTAATGTTCTTTCATTCACATTATTTTATTCAGACATAATTATGTATGTAATAATTACAGTGTTCGCGCTAGCCATTTAAATATCTGAGTCCCAGGGACACAACAGATTTGAAAAATGTGAGTCCCGTCTAATTTTTTTTGCGTCCCTCATATTTTGTTATTAAAGTGAAAGTGAAGTGGGCGATAATAGAATGCTTACGCTAAAACAGGATAAAGTGACATATATTGTAATTCTATGAATTCTCCCGATAAATATCTATCATTTGGTCCTTTTCACACAATTCTTTACTAATGTTATACCAAAATTCTCCGAAATGAATGAAAGAAATACTCAAATTAAGAGTTGTTTTCACATTTTACCAACCACCGATCTTCAAGGTCGTGTCAAGGTCGTGAACTTTTTGTTTCTTTTTATAACATTTCTCCTTACTCTGACGACTTTTGGATGAAAAACGTTGATCTATCATTAAATAATAATTATATTGATGTACAACATTAGATCGGTATCTAACGGTTCCTAGTGGAAGTAAGCTTAACTAAGATTATCGTGAAAAACAAGTCTCAATTCTCAATTTTGAAACTAATGTTTGCGTACAACAGATTGTCCAGCTTCGGTATACTCCGGAATGACTCGGAGGGCACCATAGCCAATCAAATGCTGTGTTTCAGACTAGAAACCCCGCGAATATACTGAGACACTCCGGTAGCCAATCAGATTTGCCGACATAAACATTATTGAGATCAAGGAAGTAGACGATTTGAAAATTCTTCAGAAAATCATGTTTTATCACTTCTACGCTGCAGTAAAAGTTACTTGATGGTGGTGTAGAATCTTTGCGTCCCAGGGACGTAAGTTATTTCTGATTTTCCCGTCCGACCTCTTGAAATTTCTGTAAAAACGAGAAAAAACGGCGTCAATGTGAACACTGAATTATGTATGTACTATTAATTATTACCACCTTGCCGGGCCAGTTCTATGGGTTTTAGTGCTAGTTTAGAGGCATTCATTTTACTATATCGACCTGAGCAATATGTGACGTCATAGTGGCGGTTCATACTGCCGGTCGAGAATGCAATTCTTGACTGGCAATTTTCCCAGGGAAATTAGATATCGTTCAGTGCGCAAGATTTTCTTGCTGTTTCAGTCCTGGTCATTAACGGTGGTAATAATACTAATAACGTCATTTCTGAGGGCAATATAGTGAAATATTGCACTTTGAAATGACGTTATTGTACTATTAGAATCTGAGTTGGAACTAGTTTGCTTCAAAAGATTTACCTAGAGACCAATTAACATGTACAGCACATATTAAATCCTCTCAGGAAATATATTTTAGAGTAGTCTGCATCCTTAAAATTACATGTTTGTTTGTTTTGCTTCATATACAGGGTGGGCCAAAAAAGCATGTTTTTGGCGGTAACATTTTTAATAATGCATGGATTTTCATAATATTTTTCGTGGATTTACAGGAATTACTTTTGCAATTGATCCAAAGAGGGATAAATAGTCTTAAAGGTTAGGGGTCTTTATAAAAAATTCTCGGGATAATTTTCAAAGCAAACAATTTGAAGTCCATGGAATATGCAATTATTACAGCATATTATTTAAAACATAACTTCTGTACTTTTAAACTTAAGTCATGCTAAAAATTTTGCTGACAAGCAATGGCTCAATGCAGTCCTGAATATTGTAGCCTATCACAAAAAGTTTCATTTTTCAAGGATTCAAAAATGCAGAAAAGGTCTGCACCTTTATTATTTCAGAGTGAGTATTTTATTTTATGGCTTCAATCATTACTCGTTCTCTTAATGTAGCATTCCCATCCAATCCCAAATCATGAATAATTCTAGCATTATTTGCTTTCATTGTCTTTTTGCATGTTATTGGTTGCCATGATAAATATTTCTTCGCCATTTCTGTGAAGTGTATTAAATATTTTTATCCCAACGAACGAAGTTCGGTAGGGATATAGTGAAGCCCTCCGTCCGTCCGTCCGTCAGTCCGTCAGTCTGTCAGTCCGTCGCTTTAAAAATGACGGGACTTTTTCACAAAAATCATAAATTTTTCATTCTAAACCAAAGTAATTAATATTATTGTTTGAAATTTTGGTAGTATATTCGCAACATCTATCTATTTCACATATATTCCGTGTTTTTCATCCTGACCCCCATGGGCCGTGTATGGGGGGTCAGGAAAACAGAAATTTTCGCTAATTTTTAGATTTTTCTGAAGTATGGCTTTATTAAACTCAAATGAAAGGATTAAGAGTAGATTGCAAATATTGTATCATTTTTCTGATTCGAGCCTCGTAAAATTCAAAATGGCCGTCTAATGTACGATTTCGCAATAATTTTTCGATCCCTTCAAAGTATGGCTATATAATACTCAAATTGAAGGAATTTTGGAGTAGATCACAATTATGGTAATATTTTTCAGATTTGTACCTCAGAAAATTCAAAATGGATTTTTTCAAGATGGCCGCCGCTTTAAAAATGGCGGGACTTTTTCGCAAAAATCATAAATTTTTCATTCTAAACCAGAGTAATTAATATTATTGTTTGAAATTTTGGTAGTATATTCGCAACATCTATCTATTCCACATATATTCAGTGTTTTTCATCCTGACCCCCAGGGGCCGTGTATGGGGGGTCAGGAAAACAGAAATTTTCGCTAATTTTTAGATCTTTCTGAAGTATAGCTTTATTATACTCAAATCAAAGGCAATTAAGAGTAGATTGCAAATATTGTATCTTTTTTCTGATTCGAGCCTCGTAAAATTCAAAATGGCCGTCTAATGTACAATTTCGCAATAATTTTTCGATCCCTTCAACGTATGGCTATATAATACTCAAATTGAAGGAATTTTGGAGTAGATCACAATTATGTATTATTTTTCAGATTTGTACCTCAGAAAATTCAAAATGGCTGCTTTGCAGGAATTCGCAATTCTAAAATCTAAATTTTTCAATTTTAACCAAAGTAATGAGTATGATTGATTGGAATTCGGTAATTGATATTTTGTTCGTTGGGATTTGCTACTCCGCGGAGTTGCCATCATCTAGTATTACTTGAAAAATTCTGATGTCGAAACTTGACCACATTTGATGAGGAAATCTTTGTCTTCATCTTGGAGTTCAAAATCTGTTGTTCTGATATAGTCTGTGTTTATTCCAATAGTCCTTTCCATATCACGTTCCTTCATGTAAAGCTGTTTTAGGTTAACGTCAAGCATTTCCTGGAATGCAGACAGGAAGCCTGTAACCGTATCAACGTCGTCTCTTATGGACATCCGTTGCATGTAACACATAAATGCGACACTTTTCTTCTCCATGAAATGAATAAATTCATGAAATGAGATTTCACCGTCATTATTGATGTCAATTTCGTTGAATATTGTTTCCAAAGAGCTGTCTGAAAACAATGCTTTGGAGTGATTTTCGTTAAATGTACTCTTATCTATCGCAAGGCGTAGTTCATTGATATTAACTGTGTCACTTCCATCAATATCACTGGTTCGGAGTGCTTGCCAGAATTCTCGCGCAGCTTCAAATATTTTGGCTCGTTTTTGCTCAATGACTCTTCGTGCATCCATATGCTTGCCATTCTTTTTGGCAAGAGGAGTGTTTGGTCGTTTAACGTGAACTCGTCTTTCCTCAAATGATTGCATCATGTATTCCGATTCATCGCCAGAGTAGAGAAGTAGTCCCAGAGTTTTCGTATTGTGTTCCCTGAACATATTTTCCTTGGTTGTGCTACTCATATTCTCTAGTCTTCTGAAGAAACTATCTTTAGGATCCATCGAGAGGTACCACCCATCAAAGCAATGTATCGGGTAGTTGCAGAGTACCCCACCATCTATATAACAATGTTTTATACCATGTCGCTCCAAGATCACAGGCTGAACCATACCTGGTAATGCGGCAGACATACGAACAGCCAAAGCAATCGATACATCAGGGGTAGTTTTTGGATGGAAATATTCAACACTCATCGTGGTCAGATTTGTGACTATAATGCACAGTTCTCTACCTGACTTCTCGTAAAGCTCCATGAATGATAGCTTAGGATTCCCAAACTTCTTTTCAGCATAAAACTGGCATATCGTCTCTACTCTCTTCCCTGGATGCCAGCCTTTATGTCTGATCAGATTCCACAATAAAGAAACGATTCCAAATTTTGCATCTAAAAATGTCTGGGGACTTTCCCGTCTCGCGATATCCTCAATCTCCGAAGAAGAATATCCAAATGCGAGAAGTGTTGCCATCATGGCTCCCGCGCTGGAACCAGCATATCTATAAAGATTTGAGAAGATTCCTTTTTCATCGAGAATCTTAATAGCTCCACAGTAAGCAAGTCCTTTGTTTCCTCCACCCTCTAGTATGAGATTTGTGTAGTCATAGGGGCAAGGTTTCTCTTTAACAAATAGTTCACCTTCAGGAGCTAAGGATGTTTTAGTGGGATTGCCTAGAAACAAATGAAAATAAAATCATTGTTATTATCGTAGGAGATTCTTATAGAATTAGTTTAAACAACATTTTATGTGTTCTTATTTTTATGATCTGTTACTGCATGCTATTCATTATTTATTTATTATTTCAATATACAACCTATAAGGCTCTACAACCAATTAGTTTTTTGGCATGCTGATTAATTTTAAAGTAGGCTTTTTGGATTTTCTGTCTCAAAACATAATCTGCAAGTAAAGCAAGGAAAACCCAATCCTCACTGATAACAATTTATTAATGATGAGTCATGATTATGTCAAATTTTAATCTCAGCTTATTAAAGTTAACATTGCCCGTATTGTTGTTATTTGTCTCAAGGGTGTTATATAAATGTTGTCTACTCCATAATGTTGTTTTCAATATTTTACAAATACTTACTTGATTGAGTTGTGTTTTTTCTTGCATTTACGGGGGCTTCAGTAGATTCAATGCCATCATGTTTCTTGAGAAGACTCTCTTTCACATCAGCATCTTCTGCTCCCCCACATGCATCAGTTGTCTCATTCACTTCATTTATGACAGGATCTTCATGTATGGCTTGCAGGTCCACAGCATCATCAGAAGTTGGCTGGTATTTGTTTGTCTTTGAATTTGAGGCGCCCATTTTCCTATTCAATGTTAACGGTCCTGGAAAAAGTTAGGCTATTGTTGAAAACCAGACAAAGTCTACTATCCTGCGGAAAATAAAGAATAAATAATGAAGAAATATAATGGTTTTTGTTCTATAATGAAATTGCGTGGATTGCCCGACTCCATGGAGCATTAATTATTCAGTGTTGCCTTTTTAGAGGTCTGAATCATTTATTGATCACCCGACACCCTTTCAGCATGATTGATAAATAATTCCAGATTCATTCATCTTGTCCATTTTTCATCTAAGCAATGTTTATAGAGTTTATTTTCTATGAGGAATTGAGTATGACTTTTATACTGAGGGCAAATTTTCCAAGGCACAAAGAGAATTAAGGGAAATATCATATAAACTGAGGTGTAAAACAAAAAAATTATTAGAATTTAGTCTCTTCTGTCCCACCAAAACTAATTCAAAATATTAAAGCATCTCAGAACAATAAAATGAGACAAAATGTTTTAGCATTTCATTATTGCTACATAGTGAATATGAGTGACAGAATAATAGAATAAAGCAAGTCATCATGTTTCGCTTTTTTATAAAGGTCAGGCCCGTTACCAGGGGGGAACCCCCCCTGGCCAAAAATTCTTTCAAAATAATGCAGTTTTTCACCATTCTGAGCACTTTTTCAGTGATTTTGGCCATTTTTGGACCAAAATTGTGAAAAGTTAACCCCCCTGGAATTTTCCAAAAAGTGGAGGCCCCCTTGGCAAATCCTGGCTACAGGCCTGTAGGTGAACATCTTTGAAATTTGACCATAGTTGATATAATAGATACTGCCTAGCTGAATGAATGATCTCACCAAATGAGCTGTAAAGGAAATCATACCAACTGTTAGGTTAATAAGATATCACATTCCAAAGGCCTTGAATTCTACCAAGAATTCTAACTTACTAATCATTGCTCCCTTCACGGAATGAATTTTACCAAGTATGAAGTACATGTATACATGTATGTCGTTCACAAAGTATGATTTATTTGTATTTTTAGCTATAAATATTGCAGATTACAGATTTGACACCAATAGCTTGATGCGAAAACAGTTATCCATTATTTTTGTGAAAGTAGGTCATATTTGTATCCACATAATGTCATAAAGTGGTCATGCAAATATTTGTTTTATATGGTTATTTAGATGTCATTTTATACATACTGTATACATAATAGGAATTTCTCATTTAACTCAAATCTATTTACTGAATGTGTGTATACCCCACCTGTTTTCTTAACTATTTTCCAGTTTCACCTGTTGTACCACTTTACTTCTCAATAGTAATAGATTCAAGTCCCAAAATAATTAAAATTGGATTTTTTATATTTTCTAACAATTAGCCTTGAATTTTCTGTCTACATCGTGGCAATTGTTGTATTGATTGTAATTAAGTTTTATTGTCATTTAATCCATGACTATCCAGTTTATTCCCATCTTTATAATTATTTCAGAATATCGATCGGTATAATTTAATCGGTTTAATTTTTACTCTATTTCTTTGATGGCCAATTTTGTTAATTAGATCCATTATATGTTCATCCTCTAGAGTTCCCTATATGTTATGATGTCTTGTATTGTTGTCATTCTTCAGTTCACAGGTGTTGTAGGCTCAGTTCATCCTGTACTACAAGTTCCTGCGTCATTTCATCTCAAGCTCTGCAAAGGAGCATGTACATATGCAGTATAGTCTAGTGTATCATCTTCAACCTGTTCTGAGTTCTCTATTTTCAAATAACAGTTATTTTTGCAGTCAGTTTACGATTAACCTTGCTTTTGAGATGCCTTGAATGTACCTTTACATTGGGGTGCTGTCTTGTGCACAGCCTCGGAATTTATGGCATTAGCTAATTAGACCTTGTGAATAATAAAGTATTGCCATTTCTTGAGTCTGTGTATGAAACTGTATTCTGGTTTCAGGGTTTGGCTCATATATCAAATTGAACTGCAACAAATTCCTCTCAAAATCAGCTGCATGATCCGATCCCCGAGAGGGATATACATTTTAGTAGTCTTGTACAATTGCTAAGCTATTGATAAACTGCTGTCAACATTTCTCTTCAACAGAAGTTATTTCATTGTACATAAACTCATTATCTAATCAACTGATAATCTCATTTGTTGCTTTGCTAAGCGATGGGGAGAGTATACCAGAAGTGTAGAGTGATATAATGCCTATCCTCGATATTGCTGCTGATTTAATTAGTGGCTTAAAGGGGCAGTCAAGGATAAAGTTCTGAAAATTTTTCAAATCTTTTTGTTCACAATTGTTTTAAAATTTTTATAACTAAGGTCATAAGAGACATATTGCTATTTTAATTGAAGTGATTGCATCCAACATTTTATACTCTTTATCCTTTGTTGTTGTTTAAGCAAAACAAATTGAGCAAACATTTTGGCCTATCACTCCTTTAAGAATTTAGCTTCAACCATTTTCATTTTCAAACAACTTGATCCAAAATATTGAAATTTCTCGATCACATTTTTATAATAAACCATGTTCTAGAAACAATAATTACCCAGCATTTTATGTTTCCATAAAGAACCCTTTAAAACCTATAATATTTTCTTCTGTTTTCATTCAGGCTAGTATAATAAGGTCATATAAGAATTTAATTAATGAACTGCCACAAAAAGATTAATCGTAACATGGAATGGTAATTTAGAGCAATTATACAACAAAGCAAACACAACATTCCCATTGCTAGAGTTCTATAGAAGTTTGTTCAATAATGGTGCATAAATATCCTTGAGGGAGCTTGAAGATGTAATAAACCTGTTTTACTTGATTTGTAGATTATGTTTATACTACCTTACTGTATGAAGACCACACTTTACGATGGCGAACCATCAACGCTTTCAAATGTTTATTTTGTCATTGTTGGGGATATAAAGTCAGCAGATACCTGTTTTCATGACAATCTGATTTCAACTTAACAACAACTTTGTCACGTCACAGTAAGTGACACGAATTTAAAATGATGCATCTAGGCCAATTTGATTTATTTTGTAAAGGGTGTATCAGTTAAGTGAGTAAATCAAACAAGTCCTCTCTTGTAATTTGAGGGCTATTTGGATTATATGATGTGGAACATGGTCCTTTCTTGATCATATTATGCTTTTGTAATTCCAGGGCTATGTGGATGATATGATGTGGAACATGGTCCTTTCTTGATCATATTATACTCTTGTAATTCCAGGGCTATGTGGATGATATGATGTGGAACATGGTCCTTTCTTGATCATATTATGCTCTTGTAATTCCAGGGCTATGTGGATGATATGATGTGGAACATGGTCCTTTCTTGATCATATTATACTCTTGTAATTCCATTGCTATGTGGATGATATGATGTGGAACATGGTCCTTTCTCTTGTAATTCCAGGGCTATGTGGATGATATGATGTGGAACATGGTCCTTTCTCTTGTAATTCCAGGGCTATGTGGATGATATGATGTGGAACATGGTCCTTTCTTGATCATATTATACTCTTGTAATTCCAGGGCTATGTGGATGATATGATGTGGAACATGGTCCTTTCTTGATCATATTATGCTCTTGTAATTCCAGGGCTATGTGGATGATATGATGTGGAACATGGTCCTTTCTTGATCATATTATACTCTTGTAATTCCATTGCTATGTGGATGATATGATGTGGAACATGGTCCTTTCTCTTGTAATTCCAGGGCTATGTGGATGATATGATGTGGAACATGGTCCTTTCTCTTGTAATTCCAGGGCTATGTGGATGATATGATGTGGAACATGGTCCTTTCTTGATCATATTATACTCTTGTAATTCCAGGGCTATGTGGATGATATGATGTGGAACATGGCCCTTTCTTGATCATATTATGCTCTTGTAATTCCAGGGCTATGTGGATGATATGATGTGGAACATGGTCCTTTCTTGATCATATTATACTCTTGTAATTCCAGGGCTATGTGGATGATATGATGTGGAACATGGTCCTTTCTTGATCATATTATACTCTTGTAATTCCAGGGCTATGTGGATGATATGATGTGGAACATGGTCCTTTCTTGATCATATTATGCTCTTGTAATTCCAGGGCTATGTGGATGATATGATGTGGAACATGGTCCTTTCTTGATCATATTATACTCTTGTAATTCCAGGGCTATGTGGATGATATGATGTGGAACATGGTCCTTTCTCTTGTAATTCCAGGGCTATGTGGATGATATGATGTGGAACATGGTCCTTTCTTGATCATATTATACTCTTGTAATTCCAGGGCTATGTGGATGATATGATGTGGAACATGGTCCTTTCTTGATCATATTATACTCTTGTAATTCCAGGGCTATGTGGATGATATGATGTGGAACATGGTCCTTTCTTGATCATATTATGCTCATGTCATTCCAGGGCTATGTGGATGATATGATGTGGAACATGGTCCTTTCTTGATCATATTATACTCTTGTAATTCCAGGGCTATGTGGATGATATGATGTGGAACATGGTCCTTTCTTGATCATATTATGCTCTTGTAATTCCATTGCTATGTGGATGATATGATGTGGAACATGGTCCTTTCTTGATCATATTATGCTCTTGTAATTCCAGGGCTATGTGGATGATATGATGTGGAACATGGTCCTTTCTTGATCATATTATGCTCTTGTAATTCCAGGGCTATGTGGATGATATGATACAGGATATTGTTGACTGTATGACATGGGTACAAGATGACATAGAAAAATTTGGCGGAAATAAGGTACTGCGCATTATGTAATTTTTTGTTCACGTGCTTGTTTTAGTCACCATCTAAACAAAGAAAGTTTACTCTAACAATGATTTGGTCTTAAAAAAGAAGAATCCATTATCACTTTACATATCGAATTAATTTTCATGTATAAGAAACAGTAAAAGAATGTGGAATTTCAACTTATTCTCATGTAATGCTCAGATGTAATTTTAATTAGGATAAAGTTAGGTGTAGACAGGAATTGATATTTTCAAATAATTACAATTTTCAGCAAAATCTGATTCTGTTGGGCCACTCTGCTGGTGCCCACCTTTGTGTGATGTCCGTGCTGGAACTAGTAATGAAACGCCTGGCACATGATATACCCCTGCCAAAGTTCAGCACACCTGGCATACCTGGACGCCTTCCTCCCAGCACAGTCCGTCAGACGAACTCTGAATCAATTCACTTTGAAGACCAGTATTTCAATGGTGATAATGATACCAATGATGAGGGTGAAGATAGGCCAGTTGATAAGAAGGACAGCTCTGGGTCATCTCAAAGTGATTTTCTTGTCTTAGATGATAAAGATGAAGAATCGTCCTCTTCCACAGCAAAAAGGCTGCAAAGTATAGAAAGTGGTACTTCTAGTATAGAACAGTTAGATCTAAGTGCTAGTATGACAGAGACTCTAGCAGCAGACACAAGCCAACTGGCTTCAACAACATCATCTTTCATTCTTCTAGAACCTGAAAAAGATGATAACAACATGGGTCAAGACCCTGAGAAAGATGTATTCACAGGACATGATGAGGACAAACCCAAGGAGGAGGAAAACTCATCAGATGATGTAGATAATCAAGATGTTTCATTACTAACAGAGACAAAAGATCAAGGTGAACAGAGGGATGAGGATCAAGGAGGCGGTGACAATGGAGAGAGTACTTCTGACCCTTCTGAGCACACAACGCCACCTATTATAGTCCAAGCTGCCACACCACTTACTGAGACAGGAGGGATGTCAGCTATGGGAGAGGCCTCATGCAGTGAACAACCTCTTGTTGATGCCTTGTCCTCAGTAAAAGCTGTTATAGGTAAGAGTTCTAATGCCACTTGGATTTATGAAATGCAACATCAATATTTACATTGGCACCATGTTAAATGCCATAAATTGTATGTACAGTAATGTGATATTAACAATATTTGATAGTTTTGGAAAGCTGCATTTTTTCAGCAGTTTTACAAATGGTAAATTCTGATAAAAAGATGGCATGAGAGCCTGAACAAAAACTAACGGAAAACAAAATTTTATCAAAATTAACATTTTGTTTAGTATGAGTGTATGAGAAAAAAAAACTAAATTATGGTGAATGTTAGCCTAATATGACTTGCAATCCATGCATTAAACAAGAATATTTGTTTTTTATTTAGGATTAGCAGGTGTCTACCATATAGGGGACCATTATAAACATGAGATGTATCGTGGTGTAGAAGATATCTCTACCATGGGGAAAGCTATGTATGGTCCTGAACATTTTGATAGATTCTCTCCTACTACTATAGTTGAACGTCTTGATAACACTATTAGGTTAGTATGCAAATATGTTAAAATCGCAGAGGTGTCATTTAGTTAAAAGGCTGGTTCCTTGGTTTCAATCCTGGGAAAAAATTTGAATGTAATGGGATCCCTTGATTTTTGAATGTCTTAAAACATTTTGGTTATATTACAATGTGCCACTATTTTCTCACAATTATTAGATGAACAGTCCCTGTATCACATAGTGAAATGTGTGATAACTGATATTTTGAGATATTTTTTGCAAATGTTTAAAACAGTTATGTTTTATTTCCAGTCTCCCAATGATGGTACTTGTACATGGTTCCACAGACACAACAGTGCCTGTTTCCTCGACTACAAAATTCGCAGATGCTTTGTCAAATACATCAACTAACGTCACTACCCAGATCTTGCCAAATTGTTCGCATACGGACATATGTATGGACCTAATGTCTTCAAAACGTGGTTTCCATGATCCTGTGATGAGAGTAATTGTTGAAACAGCTCAAAGAGTTTTGCATGACAAATATTTTCTAAAAATGTGAAAAGAATTGACTATGACTAAAACTACTAGGCCATTTGTAACCCATAATATTATACAAAAATCCTTACAGTTGAGATAATTCAATATGTACATCTAATTGATGTCTTTAACAGGAATAATTCTTGGGATCGACTTTATGGTAATAACATTATAATACGAGGGGTGATTCAGAAGTAATGGACAAAATATTCTGTTGTGTCCCTTACTTTCTGAACCACTCCTTGTACACTGTAATTTACTGCATAGAAGGTACATTATACTAGAAGCCAGGCCAGTTTCGATGCAGATTATCTCAATGATCTCAAATTGATCTTACATGGCTTTATATGGAACTTTAAATGTGAGCAAAATATCAGCTTCTTAAAGACAGAAGCAGTGTATTTTCTGACTGTACATTCTAAAGTCTGGGTAAACCATTGTTTTTAATTTGTAGAGTGGAGAAAACATCAAATTATTGCAAAATGCAAAGGGTACTATTTTTCCGATCATGGTATCTATAAGTGATGTCATCAACTCTTGAACCAATAGAAGATTTTAGCATATTTAAGAAAAAAATAAGTCTAATTTGAGGATACCATGATGCTATTGTTTGTCTTATTCACATGATTCCATGGGACTTTTATTCTCAACAGATCCCACCCTCTTTTAATACATCCAAGAAACAAGAACATTTTGTCTAGATTTACAATGCTTATGTTGTAGGTGCTTATGTTAGAAAACTTCATAGAAATTCTGAGTTTTTCAAAAAATTAAAGTTTAATCTACTTATTCTGCAGTAAAACTGTAGCAATGACATCATAACCAATAGGTTGTAGGATTTTCTGAAGTGGTCTATTATTTTTGTATTCAGAATTTTACCACTAAGAAGTGGTTTCTCTTGTTATAGCAACCATTTTTGTAAACAACATGACAGACATGGTTATATAGCATGGGTGGTTGGAATCTGTAAGAAATTGTTACATTTTTTTAACCATTTACAATTAGTTACCAGACATGACATTGTCATGGTAACGCCTTTTATGATTTCTATAGAACATTCAAATAGATGGCGATACAGTTCTAGTTGACTACAAATAAGGAGAATAAACGGGCGAAGGAACCATGCCAATCTCTGTCATATACGCAGAAAATGTAGTGCCCCGATCTTCTGAATGTCAAATTGGATCTAGGGTATATCAAAGAATTCTCTCTAATCTTAAAAGTGTGTAGATGAAGTTTGGCAGTAAAAGTGCTTCATAATTGTGCATATAAGGCCAATAGGTAAAACAGTATGACTGTTTTATGTTGACCTTTGAGGAAGTCGACGTTTAGTATCTTTTACAGAATCACTTTACAAAAGTAAATTAAAATTGAGACAATATACATGTGGCTATACACAGTATAACTTTGGGTATACACAGTATAACTTTGGGTATACACAGTACAATAAGTATTCCCTAATCATGAAACTTTTTTGATAAAAGGAATATGCTTTGTTACAGTAAAAAATAAGAATTGCAGTATTATCAATATTTTGTTGATTTTTATTAAGAACATTATGAAAATGTCTGTAAATAATTGTTGAATTATATATAATTGCAATTTGTGGTGTAACTAAGATGGTGTATAATTTAAATGGTGATGTGTAATTGATGTGAGATATGATTTAATTACCTGAACAAGGTAAGTGATATTAAACCATGAATGTTGTGAGGATGCTAATTGATTAAAAATAAAATGAGTACAAAGCAAATGAAATCTGTTTTGTCATCAATTGAGTGCTTATCACATTTGGAATACCAGGGGAAATTTCCATAATCACCGAGAACACAAGATGGATATTCTATATATACATGTACTATCTGGATTACAGTATTCAATATGAAGATGGTGTCATTACATTGTCACAAATGAACTATGATTTATATTGTCCCCATCTGACATCATATCCTAATTCCTTCCCCACATCGTTATCTGTTGCTGTTAGTTGGTACAGACCTACGTGTCTCTGGTGAGTGCCTCTTCAAGAGTGTTTACCACACAAGCTTCATCCATCTTTAGGATCTTTTCAGGGATTTTCATAACTTCAATGTCTTACAAGTATAATAAACCTAAAATATGTTCACAATGACTGTAACTTACAGATGAAGGATGAGCAGAAGCATATTTAACATGCGAGCCAATTAAATTTCTTCATACCACAGTCCAACAATAAAAGACAAAATTTAACTAAATTTTTTCTTTATTTTCTCTTAATAATATATACACATAAATACAGCTGTTTGCACATGATATGAATGAAGTGACCTAAAACGTTCTTTTTTTATTTAAAAAAGATGAAAAGGAGAAAATATGATGACCTGAGGAGAAATCATAGTGATATAATATTTCCATGATGGCACTGTTCAGATATATTTCCTTATTTGACGTAACTTCTTCAGAACCACCATTTTTGATCCTTTTGAATATGGTTTATAAACTGGAAGATCACATGCCTTTTCTGGTGTAACATTATCATTTCTGAATACTGATTCAAAAATATCTGGGACAAATAAATTCAATAATCATGCTGGTATATAATACTTTAAATTTCTGTATTCATCATAACACTATGAAGAAAAAGAAGAATTTAAGAAACTTAATCTGGAATGAAATCCAACTTCAAATTAATCTTTCATTACTCAAATTCTAGGATCTAAGAGATAAAAATGATACTTTCTTTGACCAGTTGACTAGCACCATGAGAAACCTGAACATAAGAAAATGGCATAGCGGGTTTGTGAATTTTAAAGCAGTAAAAAGTGTATTTTCACTCAGTTTATAAAACTTTAATTAGAGGCACAAGCAAATAAAACATCTATATCTGGAATTTCTACTGAACATAGCTTATTTCAACCAATAGCCGATGCTGGAATGCCATGTTTTTTTTCTGAAATAACTTTGCCAAAAATATTCAAAAACCATCGCAGCATAATTTGTCCACAAATCTACCTACATTTGAACTAAAAGGACATTTGTATATTCCAATCTAAAATAGTCAAAAATTGAAGTTTCAATATCAATGTTTGATATACATGTACATATGCTCGCTTCTCACAAATCGTGAAAATACAGAATTCTGATTTAACGCTCTTTATGATTATTATAGGCTATTAAATGTACAGCTTAAACTCACAAAATGTACCACTGGACTAGCCTATATTCAAATTGAAGTACAATTTGGCAACACAACTTGAGTTCAAGTCTGAAATAACTGCAATTATCAAACTTACATTGAAATTCAAAGTTTCATTGATGTATAAATGAGATCACACATTACATATATGGTATATCAACTACCAAGCCATTTACTATTTCCTGAATTAACATTAAGAGATGACAGTTTAAAGGACATTTCAACAGGTTCAACATATCAATGCTGTGAAACTTATTTAACAAAGGTTCAATACAAGGCCCCTGTTCATTAACAATATCAAATGTTGATCCAGTGATCTCCACAGGATTTTTTCTCAAGTGGATGCAAATCTCTCTTACAATTTAGACCAAAATTGATCAAAATAAGCCCATTTTCAAGATTTTTTTTTATTTTCAAATGGGTGCAATGGATTCTCAGGTAGGTGCAAGCCTATTATCAAAATCTCAGGTGGGTGGTGGGCCCACTTGCTTTAATGCTGGGGAGATCACTGTACTCAATCTTCAACGTTTTTTATAAGGAAATTTTCTTTTTACATCCACCTCACTCAATTAATTTCATAACAAAATGATACCAATATCTGGCCGACGTTCTAATGAATGCTTTTAAACCACACCAGTAGCTTATTATGCTCGCGCTCCCATAGTAGCCCAAGTATTTGGCCAATGTTATCAATATAAAATGAGGGGCTACAGGTCAAGTGGAGGCATTTCATGCTGCTATGCATTTAAGTGAAATCAAAGGCAAAAATGCGGAAAATCTAAAGTAATACACACAACCTTTAATTTACAGGTTTTTTGTTTCGCAGGAAGAAGCACATCTTTATTTGCCATTTCCCACTTTTTACTAAGAACTTGTTTCGAAATTCCAGAATGACAACATTTGAGCAAAAAATACTACATACACAAAATTATGAATACTGTATTTCTACTTAATTTTGCGCTATTTATTTTGGCCGATTTGCTGTTTTGAACATTTGGCAGCTACTTAATTTGGCGGACTTGCAATATTACAATACTAATGGTACTTATTAACATGGTGCTAAAATTACTGGGGAATTTGGTGGCTACTTAATTTGATAGGCTTTAGCAGTTTGGTGGATCCACCAAATTAAGTAGAAGTACAGTATCTTGGAAGTTGAGAATTGCTGAATCCATCATTACTGTGTATGAATACAAAATACACAAACCCTTTCATCATTTGATAGTTATATCTTTTTCAATTTTGTAACATAAATGGATCCTTTTGAAGTTTGAAAACATTGTATTTAGTTGCATACTACCAATGAGGATACAATTTTTCAAGAAAATAAATTATGTGATATGAAACTTTCCTCTCTAAAATTGCTGATTCAGCATCATAAACTATTCCAATGGTTACTTAGTTACAGCAATCTCCAAAGTAACCATCTCCATGGCAAAATAGTTGCCACAACAGGATTGCACAACAAAGTTGTCAAGTTTCACAAACTTTTTAATAAATATAATAATATCCGTATTTCTTGCAAAGCAATCACAACAGTGCCAACTTTGTCATTTATAAAAAACAACAGAGTGCAGAATTACCCCTGGTTGTGTGTAATGATTTGGGGCCTGACAATATAGTGTTCAACTATAGTTCAACAATGCACTCAACTCCTATATACTAGTCTGAAAATGACACCAGGATCATATCCAACGCGTGCTTGTGATCACATGATCTATTTTTACAAATCAGATCATTCAATGTCTTTGAGGAATTGAAGACTGAGAATGAAAATATAATTTCAAATCCCAAATAACTCCAAAATTCAAGAGCGCATCTACTATTAATTGTATGTATCTTATTGTACATATAAAGCTCTGTATTGTACATATAGCTTTAATTGTACATACAGCTTATTATTGTACATGTCTATGCTGGTATTATGTACAATCTTAAACTCTGACTAGGCTGTCCTCTTTATTAAGACTTTGCACTTACTCCTCCTGAAAACAGAAGCAACAAATATTAGAATCTATTTCTGACAATAAATACAGTCAAACAGAAGCATCAAGTATTTATAATTTATTTCTGACAATAAATACAGTCAACTGAAGCATCAAGAATTTATAATTTATTTCTGACAATAAATACAGTCAAATTGAAGCAACAAATATTAAAATAAACTATTTTGTATTTCTGATAATTAACTAAATGCTGTCAGTTGAAGCACATGCAGGTTTTGAATGACATTTTACAGTGACATACATAGATAGTGCAGACCCGTAGCCAGGATTTGCCAAGGGGGGTTCAGTTTTCAAAAATTTCCAGGGGGGTTCACATTTGACAATTTTGGCCCAAATATGACTAAAATCACAAGAGAAGTGCTCAAAATGGTAAAAAACTGCATGATTTTGAAAGAATTTTTGGCCAGGGGGATGGGTTCGTCCGAACCCTTTGCACCCACCCTGGCTACAGGCCTGTAGTGATCTCAGGATTTTTCTCGGCAAGGTGTTCTAAAACTAGACCAATGCAACATGATGCTATTCTCACTGCTTACCTTGGCTACCTTGTTTGTGATTATGCATAGCATTTTCCCTTTGTTGTCCTACAGTCTCATAATCCATCACCTCCTTGTAAATTAATTCTGGAATGAAAGAAAACAATATGGCTACATGACCTGTATATTATATCGTAATCCATTTCTGAATGCACAAAACAAGGATGGGGATAATAAGGAACTATCATATTGAATTTCAGAAAATGAAAGAACTAAACAAAGTATTTTATAAACTATAGGAATCTTTGGCTGGCTGGCAGGCTGGATGGCTGGACAAATGGATGGATGGATGGATGGATGGACAAATGGATGGGTGGATGGAAGAGCCAAAAATCAATAAGATAAAATGTTACATGTTTCTTTTATGAAATCAACTCATATTTCACATACCTTTCCACTGCTCAACTGTGTGGTCTTTATCATCTACTGCATGGTTATAGGCTGATGGGGAAGGCTGAAATTATAAAAGAAGAGTTGACAATATCATATTTTCTCAATGCATGAGTGTATAGGCTGACATGATACATTATTTAGCGATCGGTGGAGATAGGATCCTTCTACCAAGTAACATTACTTGTGGAGGTGTTCCACTTTACAGGAATTATTGTGTTTTTTAAGTAAAATCTACTCAAATGGCAGTATAATCTACTCAAATAGCAGTATAATTTACTCAAATGGCAGAATAATCTACTCAACTGGCAGTATAATCTTCTCAACTGGCAGTATAATCTACTCAAATGGCAGTATAATCTACTCAAATGGCTAGTGATCAACTTCTAGGGCCCAGTGCATTTCATTTTTTCAGAAAAATCACATAAAGAAATTGAGTTGCCATGTCATATTTTTGGTCAATTGAATTGGTAAATCATGTATTAGGATACACATGAGGTAATTATTGAAAATAATGTTACAATAGCCAAACGCTTCAATAACTGACATCAAAATTAAATATTTTTCCGATATTGGCTTACCCCATTCACTTCTGCCTCATCATACCAAACATTAATATAAGGATGCATCAGGGCCTCATCAACTGATATACGCTTCTCTGGGTCAACCACCAACATTTTACTAAGGACGTCTCGTGCTTTACATGCTTTCAAACCAGGATGCTCTACACTGTCTGTAGGAAACAGGACATCGGGAAATAATTTATCTATAGGATAACCTGCATATCTTGGCCGGTTTTCTACATAGTTTCGGACTGTAGGTTGTAGACGCTGCATAAACTCTTGAGATGGCGTACCTAGCTGCTCAATGATTTTATTCCATTGGTCTATATCTAAAGCATTGTTAAGGAATTGTAACCAGAATATATTACTGTATGTGAAAGTTAAAAATACCCAAGAAAAATCTTCAAACAGTAAAAAGTTCATAGAATGCAACAAATTCTTTGACATTAAAATAAGGGTGCCATAATGATTTCAGGTCTTCTGGTCAAAACTGATTACATCATTAACAATAGTGATGTTTTCTATACATGCTAAAATGATAAAAAATGTAAGTCCTGAATGGGATATAACAAAACATTTATGGTTTTACTCAAAAATATTAAGGTATAAAACTATTAACTTAGAATGTCTTAAAAGGGATACGATCAGTTCCTGGGAACATGACACCTCCTCTGATCATCTCTCCCATAATGCAGCCCACTGACCAAATATCGACTAGAATGAAAAATATAGTATATGAATGTACAATCTGACATTACATGTATAATTCAAAAACCAAATCATAAACTTTATACTCTTAAAAACTATTAAAGTACTGTACCGTCTTACAATAATTGTATTTATATTGATTATATAATAAGTGATTTTGAAATGCATGTGCATGTACAATATGTAATACCATAAATATGCCATATGATCTTGTGTGATAGTTTGGTTGAAACTATGGGCCTACTGAATTGGGACTCTTGGAAAACAGTCTGCAGTAAGAGAGCTACCCAGAATATATACTTATCAGTAATACATATACTTATTAATAATATTATTATTATTAATTAAACTCACCATTTTCCTTATAACCCATACCCAGAATGACCTCAGGTGCCCTGTAATAGCGCGTTACCACGTATGGTGTCATCATGAAACTAGTACCCGCAGTTCTGGCAAGACCAAAATCTAAGATCTTTAATGTACAGTCAGACTTCACTACAATGTTACTAGGCTTTAAATCCTGCAACAAAGTAAATGATCAATTATTAGAAACTATGAAACTACCATAACACCATATTTATGAATATGGTAAATGAAATGGTTAATTTGACTGAGAGGAAAAGGACATGTACTATTTTTTTAGTAATAATCATTCAATGTCATAGAATCTTGTTCAACGTGATCTGATCTTCTGATGTTTGTATATGATCTCAACAAAAAATGAACAGATTTATATAACAGCTCAAATTTAATTGGCTCACCCTGTAGGCTACAAAATTACATTTTTATCAAACGAATTTTTAGTCTTTAATAGCAAGGAAGAGACAAGTCATCAGATATTTCAACACAAAACATTTTTCTAAACATTTCAAATCAATGGCTTGATGCCGTATTATAACTTAGACTTACTCGATGTATAATTCCTGCCGAGTGAAGATGTTTGATGCCGCATAGCATTTGATATAACAAATAAGACATTCTTTCATGGTCTAAGTCCATCTGTATAACCTGACACAGGTTGGCATCCATCAGTTCCATTACTAAATACCTAATAAAAAGTGATCATACATATTAATTGCTGTAGTAATTGTTACAGACATGGATTGCCATGAGAAACCTAATCACAAAAATTACAGCTATCAACATTCAACAGCATGTACAGTGTATGTCCTCTTTTAATCTAGATATTTGTTATTATTATATCACTATCTAGCTAGCGACAGTATGATTGGTCAAAACCGGGTGACATGTCGTGGGATATCTGGCGATATTCAATGGCAATGCTAATCAGATAAGACAACCGTGAGATATCTAGCGATATCCCACGCTCCCGGGAATTTTCAAAGAATTTGTTTTCGTTCAGTGTAAATAATTTAGTTCAGTGTAAGTCAAAATGGCAGACGAACCGAGTAGATTCAATGTATTTCAATGTTAACCTATGACTTGATAATATTAGGGATGTTTAGCTAGACAGTGATATAATAAAACAAATATTTCACTCTATTTTCGGTGAATACCGTAGCACTTTCACAAGGTGATATTCCACTTGCCCTTCGGGCTTCGTGGAATATCACTTGTGAAAGATGTACAGGTATTCACCTCAATAGAGTGAAATATTTGTTCAATATTATGTGAATTTAATGACAGCTCCATTTGATTCACCAATAATATCATTAGCTAATGCAAGTATTAATCCTCTTGACTCGGCTCTTGATTTTTTTCTAAACTTTACACGGATGGATACGTCAAGAAGGTACAGCAAATATTGTCTCTACTATGCATTATATTAGACATAAAAAATACAAATGTAAATATAAACTTACACATCTTGAAATTCATCAAAAGACTTTTGTGGGGTGAAAGCATTCAGTAGCCCAATAATCTGAAAGTATACAAAATGCCAGGCTGGTTAACAAGAATCTCTTTAAAATTACCATAAGAATATTATTTAAACTGTAAATACTGCAGTGCAAAAACAAATGTTTCTAGCATAGTTAAACAAATAACAGAAAATTCTTAATAGGAATGAATACCCAAATTGTTTAAGAACCGGGTCATAAAGAAAATATTTTGTGGAATGATCTATTAAATCACTTATAAATGTGTTCTCTCATGCATTTAGATGAAATGCACCCTAGCAACATGATAGACCATAGCCTCCTATCAACTCATTTCTTAGCAATGAAGAGATGCTCTGAGTATCAGACTAGTATGTAACCACTGTCAAATAAGACTTGATTCACAGAGATACACTTCTTTATATACATCTGATACATTTGCTTTTGAAATACAAAAAACTCAGGAAAATCATGATACTGCTTAGAAAATGCATGGATGACAGAAAAACAAATAAAGCAGATATATCGTGAAGGTTTATTTTCAAGATGCATAGCACTTTATGTCGTTCAGTGGGACTTTTCCAATCAGGGCTAGGGATTATACATATTGTATGATACTATCGGCTCAATAGAGAGCAAGATTGCAACCCTTGGGGGATTTAGTGCACTGATTGCAATTGCTTTATTAACTTAAGGATTCACAGCTCATACATGAGCCCTGTAACATACAGACTAGAAATCTGGTAAGAAAATATGATGTTTTGGGACCTCGCTTCTCTGAATAATGTAGTACATTATACATATAGACTAATACCATTGTTTACTCTCTAAGACACTGTTCTTAGACACAAACAAGATTTTTTCTTTCATTCCATATAACCAATAACAATCATGCACTAGAGAAAATTACTATAACAGTGACTGGTATACTATCTGACGAAAGGTGTTCTCTTATAATATGGGTCTTACACGTGCGCCTTGCATGAGTCACATGACCTTGTCTCTGTTATTGTTTATTTAGAATCTCAGGCCACTTATTAATTCATTTAGAGTTCAAATAACAAAAGAAATACATCTATAAATCTTGACACTATTTTCATATCTTCTCTCACAGTTAGGTTTCAACAAGGCATTAACATGCAAAATGCCGCCACCATATGTTACAGACACCAACCACCGATCGCCAACCGCCGTCACAAAAACGAAGACCATAACAATATGTCACCACTTTTTGGTGGTGACATAAAATCTGAACCCTTTCAATGGAATGAGGTATGAAATATTAAAGACAAGTCCAAATAGGGGTTACCTTACTCTCAAAAATCAACCTGCTTTTCCAGTACATGTACTATACATATCGACACATTGATGTAGCTAATGACATACTGGTGTATATAGAATGTGCAAAACATGGTTCCTCTGGTTTCTTCACATCTAATTTGTTATTTAATGCTAAATAAGTATTTGTAAACACAAATATATTGAGGGAAAGGTTAAATAAGTGTTACATACTGGGAGGTTTTGGATACAGCGTTTATCCCGAGTGAAATATGTACATCTCCTGAGCTTCTGAATGCCATAATAGAATCAATTGATATAATTATTTTTCAAAGCATTCTGCATTCAGAAATCCTTTCATTTTATTAATTTCTCTAACTCCCCAAAGCAAAACAAATTAAGTCATGTGAAAATATTTTAAAGGAACAAATGTGCCAAAACATAAGCTGTGCTTTGTAAGAGACAGAATGAGTAGGAGCAATTCTACAAATAAACTTGCCTTGTTTACATTGGTTAACAGTGGATCCATCATTTTATAAGAGACATTCCGATGCAAGTAGAAAAATATTGATTTCTAGAATTGCCTTGAATTGTCACTAGATCTTCACGAATACATTCTTCATTCATTTAGATGGAAATACTTCTAATGTAATGTTCAACATGAATCATACCAATATATCATTGTTATGTAATTTTAGAAAAATGATTCACAATAAAAAGCTTTCTTGTATTCATTTTTCTGCTGATGAAAATAAATTTGAATCTCTATACCATGATAATTAAAAAAATCTGAAATACAATATGCTGTACATGTAAAACCACAACAGTAAACAATAAGAGACAACACTCCTTATCTATTTCTTTGCTGATACTGGGCTATTATTACATTTTAGACAGATTTTTATGGAATAAACAGGAAATATGCCACCCCTCTGTCAATATCTTGTAACCATTTCATTTGGTCAATATCATATTGGAATCTCTCTTGGAATAAACCCATATTCAATCCCTTCCAGTAAATAACCTTATAAAGACCATGTACATAAAATCTCAAAATAGAAAATAATACACAAAAAATATTTGCATAAACTGTCTTCCATGTTGGTTTGACTCCCTTGTTCTTTACCATTACTAAATATGTCCAAGGGCATCAATTTCAAACCACCTTAACGAAAGCCAACTATAGTGTAAAATGAATAATCTGATTCATTGACAAGATACATGTACTTTTACATGCATGCCTATTTTCTAAAGTAATGCATAGTCCTAAATGCCATCTTAAGGCTTACCTTAAAAATTAAGACATTTTCACTTCTCTTTTGTTAAAACATAGAGTGTAAATTTGCATGAAAATGTTGTTCATCATGGCATGCTTAATCCACACGTTACATATTACCCGACTCAAGGTTTCTGGATACATTAATCCCCACGTTACATATTACCCAACTCAAGGTTTCTGAACACACAAATGATTCTTAATATCGAAATATATTAAGGTAGACAAGTATAAAAGAATGCTTATAAGATGGCTCATAAATTAATATACTTGCACATTTTACAAGTAGGCCTGAAAAAGTCAATGCACTTTTTCTTACTTAACTTAACTTATGATATATTTTGTCCCATTTTTCTTAGTGGTCTGAATTGTACAACTATAGAATAATAATTATACTCTATGGGGAGTTTGCACATCTCCATATCATTTATCATTGTATATCAAGAAATGCCAAGTTAACAACATCCCACATAGACCATAATACAGACATAAATTAGGTTAAGAAATTGATAATCATAAAAGCTCTTTGAAAATATTCCAAAGATAGCTAATCGACTGAAAATGTCTGTAACATTGGCGCCAAAATAGAAAGAATCAATCTTTTAAATATGGTAATTGGGTCAAATAGATGATTTCTACTCAGAGTAAGATGAATTGCCTTGTACTAAAAGGTATTAGATGGTTATAACTGTATTACACCAACGTGCACTTAGATGGAGATTCTTGCAGTGTTCTACATATAAGCACTTGTCAAGTAGGCAAAATTCTCATTTACAAGATTCTGCAAAAATTGATCAAAAATATGTTTATTTGCATAGTTTTTTTTATTGAATTCAATGTAGTTACTATGAATGGCACATGTACTGTGTCTCATTATATAAACCTGGACTATATAGACTAATATGCTCAATTTCAACTGTGATAGTCACGTAATATCTCTTCACGATTAAATTCCCAACTGTATCATTGCAGGTAGGTTCTAAGTCTCTACAATCGCTAAAAAAGAGCTAATGAATCTCCGACATGTGGTAGATAAAGATGGCCTGATGAATCAGAATGTGACAATACAGCATTTAAAGTTTGCATTACATCTTGTATCTCCATATGTATGCCCTAAGTCAAACGCTACTGGATAAAGCCCATGTCGGCTCTCTATTATGCCATAGGTGAGGAAGAATGGCTGATTAACACTGAAAAATCAAAATCCTTTAACACTTCAGACCAGAAGATTTCCTCTTTCGGTCATTTTCTTTAAATTCCAATGTTACATAGTCTTGTATGTATAAAGTCAAGGGAGAGTAAAGTAGAATTAGAGAATATCTGGAGGTCCTCCAAGAAGACTTGGCATTATAAGATCCTCCCTACTATGTGAGTCTAATATTGAAATGAGCTAATGTCCTTGAGAATAGAATTTGTTATTCTACCATCACAATATTTAACCATTTGTCTCCCCTTTAGAGGAAGTATAAAGCTCCCACTGGGAGTGCTACTAGTGCGCTATTTTAGCATTAACAGCATTAATGTTAACGATAATTTCCTCATAAGATCGCACTTTTGAGAAAAATGATGTTATCATGAATATAACCAATAACAAGAGTTTGCAATCTGGATTTTGGTCAGAATGACTTTTCTTCATTCCGAGTATTTACAGTGGGGATAAGTGAATCATCTCTACCAGGGTACTCCCAGTAGATTTCTATGTTAAAGCTCAGTGTTAATGATAATGAATGAAAAGTGGATATATGTTGAAATACTTACATTTTTATGATTGACTAATTTCATTAGGACGAATTCTCTGTAGGCTCGTTTGGCATGTGTCACGTTTTGAAAAGGCCGACTGAGTTTCTTTATGGCAACATTTTCATTTGTTAGGACATCATTTGCAGCACTGGAACAGAAATAATGTCATATTCATGTATGGTTTCCTGTTTATTATCTTATATGTATTAACCATGACAGCACAAAATATATTTAAACAAGGTACAAAAAACTGTATAAAAACTGGAAAAATATAAAAGGTGGAAATAGCAATTGTTTAATATAATAAAATCAAATCTGAAGAATTGCCATGGAAAAGTTATAATGACATCAGTGTTTTATAATATCAATCCTGCAAAAAGGAAAAAGCATTTACATGACAAAATTGTTACCACCTAGTAAGTTATTGCAAATTCCGAACACCAACCACTGAACTGGTGGCGACATAATCAAATCATAACCATATTTGTATCAACCATGTATTGTGTGAGAAATGAGGAGCTGTAAAAGGCTAATGTGAGGGTCTCACAGGATTTTCTTGATCAGAAGAGTAAAGGGCAACTATATGGAAGGGAACATGGTAAAAATCAACATTCAACAACATTTATTTTATTGTGCGTTAACTCCATTATTGCATTTGTAAGGCTATAATGCATTAACAAACCAAGAGGGAACAACAATATTCACTGAAAGATAAACCATTAGGTTTGAATAATCAGATAATCAATTTAGGACAATTTGTGATATAAATAACAATTGTGAAAATATATAGCATAATAAACCTAGTGTTAATGTGAACACATCCAAAAATTGAACACCAAGAATGTAAATACTTTCTAAGACCAATATTTGGATGCTATTGGCTCATACAATAGTTAACACCTTTTTACATGATCATTTTAGCTTATATTTTGTTACCCTTTACCTTTGCATGCATTTAGCATGTATTCTTTCCAGCTTGCTGATTGGCTGAGAAAAGGTCAGTGTGGTAGGTTTGAAGTGATTTTATGGGTGGGGTTGCCAGACTGTAAAATAGTCTTAACTAGGCAAAGGGTAGTTTATAACTAGACTGCACCCTGGTTAATATTTTTTTTCACTTTCGACAGGGTGTGATTTATTATAGATTGATCAAATCACTTGAAGGAACATGACAGTCAGAATAAATGGTTTGGCAAAGATTAAGCCCCCCAGAACAATTCTTTATTAAGTTGATATGATAATGGTTGACATGAATACCCAAGAGGAACATGCATTTACTGAAACCACATCACATCCATTCAACACCAAAGAGGAGGAAATACCCAGAATTCATTGATTGGAAGAGGTCCATCGTTGAATTCTGGGATGTTTTCCCCTTTTCAACATTCAAAGTTAAACCTTTTATTTGGAAGACACAAATAACAAGGAATGGTCCCCCAGTATAAATGATGCTACTTGGAGGTATCAGATTAAAACACTAATGACATGAGATATAGTGATTTTCACTACCCTGAAACCCAATGTCTAGAAGTACCATTCTAACCTCTCTCAAGTATACCTTTATAGAGAGAGGATAGTCTTTGATAGCTTTAAAACAAAATATCAATTTTAATTATATTTTCATTTGTTGCTTGCTTGCCTCTAGGACTACCTTAAAAGGTGCAATTGTAGGGATGGCTATATCACAATAACCTAATCTCATATTAGTTCAGGTTGCAGTTTTATATTAATGTATTTTTAATGGAAAATAATAGTTTTCCTGTGAATTGACACCCACGTTTGAAAAAGAAATCATCTAAATGTCAAATAGGAACACTGAACAAGCAACGGACAGTGTCTGCTATAGAACATTGTAAAACCTGTCAAATATGAATGCCTTTAGGATTGGCCAAAAGTGTTCGGATTAGCAGGTGTTCACATTTCAAAGTTTTGAAATATGTTAATTAATGGGAGATAACAAAAAGTGTTCATATTGAAAGGTGTTCGGATAAGAGAGGTGTTCAGATATACAGGTTTCTTTTACAGTATAATTTACAGCCCCAAAGTGCCTCGCAGGATACTTTTCATTTATACATGTACTTGTGATAAACTTAGGCTGAGAACGAACGAAGATATGGATATTGATCAAAGCTCACAACATAATGTACAGGGTGGGCCAAAAAATTTTGCAACCTTTTTAGAAGGCAAAAAAAGTATCATAACATTATGGTATTGACATGAAATTTTTTTTACAGAAACTTAAGGATAGGCATATTTTACCATTCAAATACTTAAGCTAATACTGACTTCAATTTTTTTTGTCAGATGTTTGAATATTAATGGTAAATTGTTCATGTGTCCGAGATTTACCAATTTTCCCAGAAAATGTGATTTTCTATAATTTTATGTGATCATCGATAGAACATTTATTATGTTCACTAAATCTGCTGCAATCTTTGTTAAGTGGTGTATTGGGCGGCTATTCATCAGGACTAATGATCAAGGGGCATTTTGCTCCAGATATTCCAAAGTGACTTTTGGCCTATGGTCAGGAGCGCTATCCTGCTGGAATATGTAATCACTTGGGACTGAAAGAGCCCCCATTCTTGAAAGATGTCCCTTTTGAAGAAGATTAGTCCTGAGTTGAATGGTCACCCAATACACCAGATGCCAACCCCTGGGACTATCACACATGGGGGCACCTGAAGCAATGTATTGTAGTTAATGGTTATACCCCACAAATTATTGATCAACTATAAGAAGTTCTGCAGGATAAGTGGAGACGACTACTACAAGAACTGCTGGATCTCGCCATTGACCAGTTCAGTCCTTGTCTCCATGTGATTGTGAAGGTGAAAGGCGGATGCATTGAACATTTGTTTAATAAATAATTAATACAGTGTAACAATATTACCATAGTAACTAGATACTGATATAAACCTGCACTAGACATTGGTTAAACAGTTATCAAATATTGTAGCAGATTTAGTAAACATAATGAATGTGTTATTGTTGATCACATAAAATCATAGAAAGTCAGATTTTCTAGGAAAAATGGTAAATCTCGGACAAATGAACAATTTACCATTAATATTCAAACATCTGACAAACAAATTTAAAGTCAGTTTTAGCTTAAGTATTTGAATGGTAAAATATGCCTTTTCTTTAAGTTTCTGTAAAAAAAATTTCATGTCAATACCATAATGTTATGATACTTTTTGTGCCTTCTAAAAAGGTTGCAAAATTTTTTGGCCCACCCTGTATATTTGTAGAAAAATCTCAGTTATTTGCCAAATCTAAAAATGTTATGATTTCTTTTTAAAGTAAAGACTGAGTTTCTTTTAGGTGCGTGCCAATATGAATGAGCTATTTCTCAGTTTAATGTCATAACGAGCACCTTGAGTTGATTCAATCATCTGGTCATCTCTAATCTTTATGTTCCAACAACTACCTACTTGGTCATATGATCAGGGTCTGTGCTTAAGACTGAGAAATTCTTCATGTCGGTTAAATACACATTTGGGAGGAAGCTAGCAAGTTCTATATTGGAATAATGACAATTTATAATCGAGTCACTCCAGAAATACCTAAGTTCAACACAAACATAACTTTCGCACCTTGCATGAAGTTCCAGTAATTAATAACGTAATCTTCCATAAATCCAATCAACGATATACAGATAATGCTATAATAAATTGATCAGAGAATATAGATTTTCTAGTTGAAAGTTATATCAAATATTCAGAAAATAACCAAAGAGATATTGATTTCTGTATAGCATGACCCAATTCAATTATTCTGTGTTGAGTCTAATTACCAGGAATTGATATGAATCTCATTCTCGGAACAAGTTCTTGAATTCATATTGTGGTTTTGTGATTTCAGTTTACTGCACAGTCTCCAAAATATCTCAATTCATTTACAATGTTAATTATTAATTTGTTTATTTAATTGGCAGTTTTTACATAATATGACTTACACTGCGTCCAAAAAGGCAGTTCATTTTTTATTTCTGGCTCCAAAATTTTTTCATTGCGCTTTTGCAATTGCTTGGACAGCGTCCTACCAACACCATGTTAGAGAATATGAGGGAGGGGGTAAACATAAGGTTTTGATACAATACTACCAAAAAAGATATCCAAAGATAATAAAAATACTCACCATACGATACCTTGTGCACCTGATCCTATTGGTTTGAGATTTTGATACCTCTTCAGTATAGTAAACTTGGAGTCTCCTACCTCCACTGTGTAAAATTGATCTGAATGTTTATTCATATTGAATTGAAGTCTATCTCATAAGTGTGTATATTTCCTAATATTCTGATCAGGTTGTAGTCTGATCTGAGTATTGTTACAAATTGTAACAATAGGTGTATATGTGATCACCCTGTAGACTGTATCCGATTGTTATATTCAATATGTTTTCATGTTCCTTTGTGGAAGCTGGGACGTGGAGTTACTTGTCGATTCTTGCGGTTAGCCATAAATCTGAAAATCAAAATGTTTCATGGTGAATATCACAAAAGTCAAGAATAATGAAGATTTATGTAATTTACACAATTTTTCAATTAGTTTAGAGATTAGCAATAGTTGCTTGTTTTAGCTATAAATGTATTTGTCAAATCTGCCTCAATAGAATAATGACAAGGCACAGACATAACAATATCATACCTAAAACACAGCATTGTGGTCTTGTTGACCAAGAAAGCAAGATGGCCGCATAAAAGTTAATCAGCTCTAGAACTTATCACTGTGTAACATATGTAAAAATTTGAACGGTTTGGGTGGAAACCTGTAGACAAGTCTTGAAAGTGAAGATTTTAGGACGGAAAATCCAAAATGGCCACCTTTAAATTTACCCAGAATGCCCAAAAACTAATCAGTTCTTGACGTTGATATGTAGAAACATCCCTGAAAATTTCAGATGAATCCCTCAAATGGTTTGGCTGAAAACCTGTAGACAAGTCTTGAAAGTGAAGATTTTAGGACGGAAAATCCAAAATGGCCACCTTAAAATCTACCCAGAATGCCAAAAAACTAATCAGTTCTTGACGTTGATATGTAGGAACATCCCTGAAAATTTCAGATGAATCCCTCAAATGGTTCAGCTGGAAACCTGTAGACAAGCTGAAAAGTGAGACGCCGCCCACCGCCCGCCCGCCGCCCGTCAAGCTGACTACAATATCGTACCTCTTGTTAGGTACGATAATAAAAACAATCCATAATTAGAAAAGCTTCAATCAGTTATGCAAAATAAGGAAGTTGACATTGACAAGCCACTTTTGGGAAATCCAAGTTCGGGCTAGAGTGTTGTTAAATTAATATAAGTATAAAAGTGATTAAAAATATAGTCAAGTATCAAGCCCTTGCCGTTATATTCTACTTCTATACTACAAAAGCCTAAATAATAGATGAGACCAATAGCTCTATGCAATTCTATTAAAAATACAAGTTCCAATTTATATAACAAATCAAGACAAATATTGATCACATTTTGATAGATGTCAAGGTCATTGCGACCAACTGAGTACTGTCATATCTAATTAACCAACAGATCCCAAAGACATGTTAAAATATTATATGTCAAAAGAAATATCACTGCTACTGAAAAATATGAAAATGATGGCAATTTGTTAAAGGATCTGTTGAGATTTATATGAAGATATTGGTTAGTCTTCTGAGAGCAAAATGAAACAGGGCATTGACTCCAAATCATATTACCCTTGGAAACAGGGACAAAACAAGAAAAAAAACTAAAACATCATGATTTATATACTGCATTACTTTCTGTAAAGAGCATGCATGAATCTTTAATTTTACCATACCTTAAAAATAAATTCATTAGGACCAAAGCAAACTAAATTCCCAGATCACTATCAAAAGTGGAAAGAACTTATTCTCAAAGTTGGTCTTCGAATCATCTTCTGCTTTGATATTATATGAGATTCTGGCCATTGAACTCTCTGTACGTCCCTCGATTTATATTTTTAGAACATGGTCCATAAATTCTCATTGAATACCTTTGAAGATTCTCTATATATCAAAGATATGAGAAATAAAATATCCAAAATGTTTATCAACATTGATTTACTGACTCTGCATCCTTGTAATACAATTTGATGAATATTGCATTTTATGTAATTCGAGTATGCTATTTCTGATTTATCGTTGGAATGTAACATTCCAGTTTAATAAGGACATACCATTGACCAGAATTATTCGTTTTCTGCAACTCTGCATACACAACATCTCGTAAAAATCTGATTTAAGCCTTGATCAGTGGGAAGCTGCATAATACTAGTACTTATTGGAATTGTGTCCCTGTAGCTTCTAACACTCATACAAAACAAACAGCTATCACACAGAAAAACCTGTCTTATCTGAACACCTCTGGGACAAGCCAAAAGTGTTCAAATTATCTGGTGTTCACATTGTTTAGGTTTTATTAACATGCAAGTCAATGGGAGATAACAAATTTGGGACCAAGAAAAAGTATACACATTGAGAGGTGTTAGAATTAGAGGTGTTCGGATTATACAGGTTTCAATGTATTAGGTAGTTCCCAGCTCCATAGAAAACACTGAGCTACCAAAGAGGTTCTAAAATACATATCATACTCTTTTTATCCAATTAGGCAAAACACAAATGTTAGATGAATATTTTATATCTTAGAAGAAATAACATAAAACCATATTCACAAAAATGCGTGTTTGATAATAATAAGGCTGATTTCATGTCACAAATATAAACATATTTTGTCTAAATAACAAAATACCCAGTAAACATTATTTAGGCACACACTAGTAATAATCTGAAGAAATAAAGCTAGAGAGAAAGCCAGTAGAATGAAACGACATGATGATATATTGGAATGTACACAGTGACTGTTAATCGATCAATAATTCTCTCGATTATTCCTGCATACTAAAATAGCACTCACTATGCCTTTCAATGAGAGATTATGTTTGGTCTTATTGACTTTTTAGTGTAATGCATTCCAAGGATATAAAATCTGAGTTCATAAATGTATATTCTATTAACTTTTTCCAAATATTGGTTTGGACATCATCCACATGGATATATATACAGTGTATACAATAATTAAGAAATATAGACTGAAGAGCAGGTTTTATATCGTCGAATACACCCCGCAGGGCTAAGCACAAATGTTTTCTGTACTCCGAACGACCAAAGGGAGTGAGGGGTTCGAAAGCTTTTGTGCCTAGCCCTAAGGGATGTATTCGATGATATTACACCTGCTCTGAAGTCTATATTATGATTTGAACATGAAAACTCATCAAAATCTTACGAATATTTATTATGGTCCACCATTATTACGGCCCACCGTTATGACGTCACACATTACTGCATTACTCATATTACCAGGGGAAGTATTGACGAATATACCCCAGGTGAACTGTTGACTTTTTCACAGTTTATAGGTGTGAATACAGTCATGTTCGAATATACAATAAGGCTCAAACAAGGCACAGGACGTGAACGAAATCACAACATCAAATAGGCAGACACTATGAACCAGGAAAACTGTTCTCCTATTATGTTTACAAATTTCAAGAACAAGAAACAAGATTTTTCAAAAAACCTTCAAAATGGCCACCAGAAAACAAGATGGCCACCCAAAAGTTAATCAGCTCTAGTACTTGATATCCTCTATCATTTGTGTAAATTTGAAGGAAATCCGATGAGCGGTTTTCCTGAAATGGCGATGACAAAATTTTTCGAAAACCTTCAAAATGGCCACCAGAAAACAAAATGGCCGCCCAAAAGTTAATCAGCTCCAGTACTTGATATCCTCTATCATGTGTGTAAATTTGAAGGAAATCCAATGAGCAGTTTTCCTGAAATGGCGATGAAAAGTTTTTTTCGAAAAACCTTCAAAATGGCCACCAGAAAACAAGATGGCCACCCAAGAGTTAATCAGCTCTAGTACTTCATATGCTCTATCATCTCTGCGAATTTGGAGAAAATCTGATGAGCAGTTTTCCTTAAACGGCAATGATAAAAAAAGCAGGACGATCACGACCACGATCACGACCACGACCAGTATGACGACTATATCCCACCGATGGTGTGATAAAAATGTTACAAGTATAAAAATGTCAATATTTTTTGTAATTTTGGTGTTTACCCTAAAACATACTTGTCGGTACTCTAGACTTTGATGTGGTGGCACGCTAGAGGACTGACAAATAAATTGTCGGTACGGGAGATATGCTGAGTTTACACGCTAGAGGACCGACAAATATTGATTTTCGAATTTTTCGAAGATTTGGAGGACATTTTGAATTACTGAGTCTATTTAAAAGTTGAAGTGCATATTACTGCGATTTGAGGCAGCCGCGTCTTTCATGCCTTTAAAAGAACGTTTCTTGTGGTGTTGAGCCGTTAAATTACTACTTTTGAAAAATAACATGTGCTTCAATACATCCCCCGCAAGACTAGAACGTAGAGATAGTCTTGGAACGAGATAAGTTGAGAGGTTTTTATGGGGGTACTGGATCTGAAATAAACCAGATAAACACGGACGTCAAGTACGTTTCTGGCGAAAGCTGGAGCATAGATTATTAAGAGGACTGGAAACAAGATGGCAGTCTATTTCAATTCTGCCAGCTCGTTTTGGCTCATTTTTATTAATCACTATTGACTCAGTTGTTCATCTTAGTTTTACTTACCTTAGATGCTTAGTAATCTATTTAGTATAATATTGTTTCCAAAATTATTGTCATTTGCGAAAATTTGTACTAAAAGTACTTTGAACAGGTTAGCTGCCATTTGCTTGGCTGATCGTACCAGTCCACAAAAACAGTGAAATCATATTAAAAATACCAATAAAACTTTAAAATTGAGGCAGATGCGATACGAAAAGACTCTATCTAATACAGATATACAGGTTACAGTCACCAAGATGAGCTAATTTCAGGCGAGATTAGGGAAATAAAAAGGTAGGTCATTCTTGTTTCCAGTCCTCTAAATAATCTATGCTCCGGCTTTTGCCAGAAACTTACTTGACGTCCGTGCAGATAAACTTACCAAAAAGTTAAAAGAAATGGAGTCAAAGAAGCCAGGCCGTAGCCAGGATTTGCCAAGGGGGGGGGTTCAATTTTCAAAAATTTCCAGGGGGGGTTCACATTTGACAATTTTGGCCCAAATTAGGCTAAAATCACTTGAGAAGTGGTCAAAATGGTCAAAAACTGCATGATTTTGAAAGAATTTTTGGCCAGGGGGGGGGGGGGGGGGGGGTTCGCCCGAACCCCCCCTGGCTACGGGCCTGGAAGCCCTCTGAATTTTCAAAAGAATTACTAGAGACTGGCCTGTATAACTATAATTTACCATGAACTAAGTTAGATACAAGCTTAGCCGGCTAAGAAATTATGTTTTGAAAAATGACAGCTGAACAAATCAATGAGGAGTAGATCTAAACATGACAGAACTGAAAAATCACTCACCTATATCATTCCTCGGCTACTTGTGATTCCTTTCTTCATTCAATTCTGTTTTGAAAACAAATCGATATAGGTTAATTTAACAAAATACTGAGAATGGTGAAAAATTGATTTTCAACAAAATAGGAACTGCGCAGAATGTCATGACGTCAGATATATTAGCGTACTTTCAATTTTCATCTTTGTATCGATTTGTTGACATATTTTTCTTCAAATAAGACAAACAGTAGCACCAAGAATCTCATTTAATGATAATGAAATAGTAAAAAGTAATATGACATCCCTGATAAAGTGATAATAAGATAATTAGATTTTATGACGTCATCATAAAGTGTGTGCATTAATCCCGGAAGTGATTCACCTGACATACAACTTTTCAACTTTCTTTGAAAGAATGAATAATCTGCTGTATATTGATACTGCTGTGCCACAGGTGTATAAATAGATAGGTGAGTAATCATCGTTTATACTTAAATGACTCTAGAATGTATATGAACGCCCACTTGTCGAATATCAACAGATGCCAATCTGAGTGACAGTTTTTGAAAAGTTGACTCAAACTTTTGAGTCAAAGGCACATCCTAGTTCAACAAGTTAACCCAATACCACGGCTTTCATATATTAATCTGAATGTTCTTGTTGCCGTGATTGGGTTTAACTTCCGTGCTATGATTTCTTTGGTTGCAAATTCTCACTCTCGGTTATTAATAAAATGCGCATGGAATTTCATGCGCTGCCACGCATAGGCCACCATTTTTTGCCAGGGCGGGCCACAAGATATATCAGGTAAGAAAGGCACATCCTTGGGACACAGAGAATGGGTCTGTCCATCCGTCCGTCCGTACGTCCAGGAGTTTTCTCCAAAACCGCTACAGATATCACCTTCAAATTTTCAGGGATAACTTATGAGTGCGTACAGATGTGGAGGAAAAAAATTTAACTCGATACCTACTTCCTGTCAGCCATTTTGAAGTCAAATGCTAAAATCCTTGTCTGCAAACTTTAGAAAAACAGCTTCACAGTTGCTTTTAAAACTTTAACATCTTGTTCAGCTCTAACCGTCACCATGTTATTTAAGCGTTTTTAAGTTTCGCAAGGATCCTGCCATGACCGTGACAATGCTATACTATATTGCAAGCCCTGACATAACCGTGGTAATGTTAAAGCCTGATATGACCGTGACAATGGTTGCAAGGCTTGTCATGACCGTGGTAATGTTAAAGTCTGATGTGACCGTGACAATGGTTGCAAGGCCTGGCATGACTGTGGTAATGTTAAAGCACAATATGACCGTGACAATGGTTATATTAAGTGACAATTAGTAGCATGAGAATACTCTAATGAAAAATTTCATCGTTTATCTACCTTAAATATGTAAAATAAGTACTACTTCTTTAACTCATAATTCATTTCTACAAACTATAATTCTAATCTCATTCAAGAACTTGAACATTGTCACGATCATATCAGGCTTTAAAATTACCACGGTCATGACAGGCCTTGCAATATGATATAGCATTATCACGGTTATATCAGGCTTTCACGATAACAATACCAGGGTCATGGCAGGATCCTTGCGAAACTTAATAAAGTGGGGACGATTGTGCCAGGCATAAGTCTTTCAATAGAGCGCATTTGGAATATCCTGAGAATTCAGTCTATTGATCATCATGTCCCTCCTATGGGAAAAACAGGAAATTTTGAGCACAAAATTATCTATTTTAGGAAGCTTAACTTCCCAAAAATAGACATTATAATTATTCAATTAAGTAGTAAGGTGCAATTAAATGCTATAAAAAGTAGCACAGCATATTGTTAGACTTCAAGATGTCCCTAGTCCTACTCAAGTGGTAAAGTGCTCTCATTCATTAGTTTGGACAAAAGGCCTCTTACTGTTGTTGCTGGAAACCCTCTGCAGCCAACTTCAATAGGGAAGACAGATGCGTGCCAACCTCTCAACTCAGCTTCCTCCGCAAGGCCTTGGTATTTTGTTGCTCTTAACTCTTGTGAAGGTCTACTTGGAGTTGCCAGTCTGTTGCGCTCGCTAAGATGCTAGACCTGGGCTGTGATTTGCTGGAGGAGTTTGCAGCTAACACATAGTCCAATGAGGTGTTAGGGTAACCAAAGTTAACTTTATCAGTTACAAATATTTTTTTTGTTTCAGCTATGATTGGACAATTGGGTTTAAACTAACAATTTAAGGAGGTAAGGATCAGACATGTCCGTGAAGGCTAGTTTTCAGTCCTATAGCAGGCATTGTGTCAAAAGTGGATGGTTGAAGAAACAAGGTGGTGTAGTGAAATCATGGAAAGAAAGATTCTTTATCATTAAAGGTAAGTCCTTCATTTTTAAGTTCTATTTTTTTAAATTTAAGATCTATTTCAAGGGGCTATATGCTGTATTTCACATTATTTCAAGGGTCTCTTTGCTGTATTCCACATTATTTCAAGTGGCTATTTGCTGTATTTCACATTATTTCAAAGGGCTATATGCTGTATTTTACATTATTTCAAAGGGCTATATGCTGTATTTTACATTATTTCAAAGGGCTCTATGCTGTATTCTACATTATTTCAAGGGGCTATATGCTGTATTTCACATTATTTCAAGGGGCTATTAGCTGTATTTCACATTATTTTAAAGGGCTATATGCTGTATTTTACATTATTTCAAAGGGCTCTATGCTGTATTCCACATTATTTCAAGGGGCTATTTGCTGTATTTCACATTATTTCAAAGGGCTATATGCTGTATTTTACATTATTTCAAAGGGCTCTATGCTGTATTCCACATTATTTCAAGGGGCTATATGCTGTATTTCACATTATTTCAAGGGGTTAATCTGTATTTCACCATATTTCAAGGGGCTATATGCTGTATTTCACATAATTTGAAGGGGCTATATGCTGTATTTCCATTATTTCAAAGGGCTATATGCTGTATTTTACCTTATTTCAAAGGGCTATATGTTGTATTCTGTCTTATTTAAGGGGACTATAAGCTGTATTTTACTTTATTTCAAAGGGCTATATGCTGTATTTTGTCTTATTTAAGGGGACTATAAGCTGTATTTTACCTTATTTTAGTGGAGTATAATATGCTGCATTAGGTCTATTTCAGTTGGCTTTAACCTGTATTTGATCTTTTCAGTGGGATTTAAGCTGTATTAGATCTTTTTCAGGGGAAATAAGCTGCATTAGATCTTTCTTAGGGGGGTATAAGCTATATCAACTTTATTTCAGGGGGTCATATGCTGTATTTCACTTTATTTCAGGAGGCTATATGACGTATTATGCCAAAGAAGATGACAGTAAGAAACTGGGAAGTATAGAACTGATAGGCAATAGAGTGGTTGAAGTTCCCAGCTCTAATAATGGGGATGACCCACCCAGGTTCCTGTTTGAAATTATATCAGGTATGTTACCCTGAATCTCCATAGCAACTGACTACAACAGTTATGATGCTGAGAAGGTCTTCATGATCTCAAATGTAACTTTCATTGTATTTAATAAGAATTTGAATGTGAAATTAATGTCAGCTGCTGATAGACAGAAAATGTATGGTAATGATTTTATGACTACATTTGTATGTATTTTCATTAGATATACTGGGGAATAAACTAGATCATACAATAATTTCAAATTTTAAGAGAATAAGTGGAGTCAAACTCTTTCAAAGGGTACTAGTGAGTCTATACATGGGCTTTCAACTTGTCTATACAACCTGCACCTGGAAAATATACATATAGGCCTATTTCTAGAATGGTGAGGGGACTGTGTCTAGGGTAATTATATGGATAATTCTAAAATAAAAAAGATTCCTGCAAAGTCCTGCATAGTAGAAAGCAACAAATAAAACAAAGTTTATATCATCTGAATGGCACTTAAAGGTTTATTTAATGTATCTTGACTCGGTGAGAAAATAATGTTCTAAAGGATCAGTTTGACCTCATATGATTTCTAATCAAATTATAAAACATATCATGTATTGTTGCACCCAAATTTAAAACAATGTTCCTATTTTAATATTCATCAGAATGTCTGATTTCTTTGTCCCAAAAATCATCTGTGCTTCAGAATTTTGAGATTATTTCCTAGATAGAAATTGTAAACGAGAGGGCTTTACAGTATGATATTACTTTATTTTTTTGTGAGATTTTTATTTTTTGTAAAGTTTTTGAACCATTTTTATCAGATGTTGAATTTTGTTGAACTATACTTGTGCAAATACTTCCTCTTTCACGAGGGTCATATTCAATAAGTTCTGGGATTACATTATACTTTGCAGGGTTATCAAAACCCTTGGTGACTTATTCATCAACAGTCCTTTAAAGGAAGTACAGTAGAACCTGCTAAGTGGAACACCTCCATAAGTGGAACAGAACGGAGGGTACATGTAGATCTTGAAGGGAATGAGAGTGTAAAATGAAAGCAATCTTTTCAAAAATCGTGCTAATATTTTTCCTACATTACTAATTTTTCTGAAAAAAGTTCGATATTTGATCAAATGTAGTTATTGTTGATAAGATACATAAAATGTCAGAATTCACTAGAACTGAGAATGAAGACACCCCCTTTTTATTATTATTATTTTTGTACAAATGGCCATAAACTTCAAATAGTAGTATCCTAAAATCACATCAAAATTGCTGAACTATTTATATTCAGAAAAAAGGCATAACATCGAATGAAGAAGAAGGGAAAAACTATTGTTAACTGTTGACAATATTTTCAAAACTTGTCTTGTAGCTTATGCAATTGTATATTTATATAATACAGGAGAGGGACAGGGTAAGATGGCCAGTAATCATGAGACATATCTGCTGTGGGCTGAGACAGACCAGGAAAGAAAAGACTGGATGAAGGCTATAAGACGTGTTATGTATGCATCCATTGGAGGAGGTAAGGCAGACATACATGTTATAGTTAAAACATTATCTTACTAAATATGTGATCTTATTGTTATGAGCAACTATATAATGAAATGAAATTAACTACATATATTATAACTATGTATAACTTGAACAATATTTTTATAAGTTGATATGAACTTTTTAATAGGTTTGTTCAGTGTTATGAAGATCACTAAATAGCTAACCTAGTTCATATTTTAATTAGGAAAGTCAAGTAAAAAGGATTTCGAACCTTTGGTCTCACACTTATTATTATGAAAAACTGTGACTTAAAAAACAAAATTTCAGTTAATGTGACTTTGGTGTTTTCAGGGGCGGATCTGGGAATCAACAAGGGGGGGGGGGCCCAAATTTCCGGTCAGAGAAAAAAAATTTGGGCCCCTTAAACCCAAAAGTGGGCCAAAATTTTCCTCAAAATTTGGCCTGAAATTAAAAAATAAGGCCTTGCAAGGCCCAGTTATGACCAAAAAGGCCCACTTTTTGGGGCCTTAAGGCCTTTTTTGACCCAACCCAATTTTTTTTTCTTGGCCCACCCAGGGGGGGGACTGGCCCCCAGGCCCCTCCCCAGGCCCCTCCCCAGATCCGCCAGTGGTATTGATGGATGGTTAAAAGTTCATCATATAAAAAGAAATTTACCTGGAACGTATTTCTCTTGATGTACATGTAATCTTTATGGACTTGATCACCCAATAAATCAGGTTTTCTTCTGTTTTTAATAGCCATATTTGGGCAGAACCTACGTGATACTATGCTGTATGAGAGCAGACAAGGTCAGAGAAAGGTACCTCAGATTGTGGAACAATGTACTGACTTCATCATCAAACATGGCCTTGAGGTTGAGGGAGTATTCAGGTAAGAGATTCAAGTATCATACCATAAGATGCAACTCGTATGAAGGGCTTTTCCACAGATTTTTTAACTCCTTCATCTATATTTTGTTTCAATGTATCAATAGTCATATTATATCTAAATATTCATTCCCGGGTTTTCATTACTATTGTTATTAAGCGCTTTATCGATACATGTATCTGCACTTTTCTCATTGCTCATTTATATGCTAATTATGATCTATCATATATCTATTGTTATATTTCTACAAAAATCACTATTATTCTGAGATAATTATCACTACAATTTTTCCCCAAAATTATTTGTATCTTTCTTATTGCTGATCAAGTTTTAAGTATTGAAGTATCATAACATGAAATATGTTTCCAGGCTCCCAGGTCGAGCAGCATTCATCAAAGAGATACGTGAGAGATATGACCTTGGCCAGAGACCTGACCTTGAACAACTTGGAGCTGATATCCACACCGTCTGCTCGCTTTTGAAATTGTACTTACGTGAACTGCCAGAGCCTCTAATCCCATATGAAATGTATGAAAAGTTTTACAAAGTGGCCATGAGGGATATTTGTGAAGATGAGGATAAGGCCTTCGATAAACTGATAGAGTATTTGTCAAAAGTGCCCGTTTATGACTACAATGTATTGAAACATATGTGCAAGTTTCTGCATACAATAACAGAACACTGTGAGGTCAACAAAATGCACGCTGTAAATTTGGGAACTATTTTCAACATCAGTTTTATCGCTCCCAATGATGATGACCCAACATTGTTGATGGGGGTTTCCCCAGGGTTAACACAAATCAGCGCACTTTTGATTGCGAATCAAGAGCGACTTTTCAAATTGGAGTATAATTCTAATGGAGACTCGATTGTCGTGGATAATTTACTGGATATGGAAAATCAGGAGACCAGTGAACAAAGTCTTGTACCCCCACTCACCCCAGCAACTGTGGAGCTGATGACTGGTTTGACATTGTCCTCGGAAGAAGCTAGAGAAATGATGAAAAATGGATCGGGGGAATTGTCAGATTCCTTATCTACAGATTCAGACAGTTCATCAGCTAAGGACTTTGCAGAACTTGATCCTATTAGTTATATAAGCAGACTTGAACAAGAGATCTCTAAATTAAAATCAGAACTAAAGTCAACGAAAAAAGAGAAAAAAGCCTTAAAAGAGAAATATGAGAAACAGATTGTGCAGATGGCGAAAAAAATGTCGGATGAAAAAGAGTCAACCGCAGCGTCTGTTGCAAGGATCATTGATCTCCAGTCAAAGCTTCAGGAATATCAGCTGAAATATGGACCTCTGGGCTAAGACTATCTCTTTTTCATTTCAAAATGTCATCTGGTCACGCTGACTTGAGTAGGAAGGTAATAGCGGGATAAGGATAATAGTTGACACTCAAAAGTGTACAGAAGTGGCAGAAATACAGAAGGTTTATTAAAAGTTTTAAGAGAAATATGTGATAAAGCAGGACCAATTATACTTGAAGCTGATCACCTTTATTACAGTACTATGCAACCTCATTTAATACATATATAAACACATGTATATAAATAGTACTAAGTATTAAGTAATCATTATTATTATACTGTATCAGATTTACAGAGATCTAGCCCCATATTTGTACAGTGTACAGGGTGTCAAAAAACAACAGCACCCCCCTCTACAGCAAAATGTACTTAATGTTACATAGTGTGTCATATCCCATTTTAAAGACAATTTAATTCTGGAGTTACTTGAGAAATTTCAGCTCCGTATGATATAATTTTGCAGATTTATAGCTGATTATAAGTAGTTGGTATGGCCATCACTTGCCGCTCGAAAAGCAGCTAATCTGGATGGATATGACTTCAGTGAAGATTCAAAGAGAGGTTCAGCATTGCGTAATCCTTAAAGCACTTTCCTCATATTCTTCAGAAATACATCCTAACTGTATCTATTTTCAAGAGGCCCCCTCTCCATCAATTCCCCTACCCTGTCTTTCACAATTGAACCTACATGTTCAGCGTAGTAGAGATCTGGGCTATTTTCTACATATTAATCATTTCCAAGATTTGACCTTAAAGCAGTATTAAAGTAGCAAACAAAGTACTGAAGTAGCAAACTTCGAAACAATATAGCTTTTTTAATTTAAAGTTTTATTAAATGAAATTTGATGAGTAACTCCAGAATTAAATTATCTTTCAAATGAGATATGACATGCCATGTAACATTTAGGAGTTTTTGCTGTAGAGGGGGGTGCCATTGTTTTTTGACACCCTGTATATATACTGTGTATATAACTTCAACACCAAGCACTGTGATAGAAGACTATCAGTCCTGTTGCTGGGATTTCATTAATTATTCCAAAATAGTCCTGCATACAAGCTGAAAAAATTAGCATTTTGCCATTATAGTGCCTTTGTAATAAACTGATTCACATGCTCTTTTCTTGCTTTTATGCAGGATTAACCAAGGAAAAATCTCATGCCAATGCCAGTGACAATTTAAACAATGTTGATTGAGAAAAAGCTTCAAAGAAGTTAATCAAATTTTTTAGATTCATGTTTGTTAATTATTATACAATCGTCTGATATTTGATATCATTGACTTGCTTTTAGCAACACCTTTGCATTTACATACATGCTTATTTCCTGTTTGCTACATATGCAACTTTGTTCAGTATTTTTTACTCCTTTTTTGTGTTAGAAATAATTTCAGATGTGCAATCCAGAAAGTGAACATTTGTATGTGTATCTATGTCTGTTTCTAGTTTCAATATGTGCATGTCTATGATTTAATTGTTTAACTGATTTTAATATTTCCAATATAGAGCTACAGTATTTTAATGTTTAGCAAAATATGTTGTGCCTTGTTGCACCTTTCAGAAAATCTCCAAACCAGTGTTCAATTTAACCCCATTCTGAAGGAAAAGATAATGCATTTTGCCAGAGATATTCTAGTATTTGTATACAGTATATGCGCATTATCTATAAATGCATGTGGTATAAACACGGGGGATAAGCAAAACGAGAGCGAAGCCACGGACTGCGACTCGCGTAACTTTACACCGCAGCCCAGCGCCAAAATGGAGGGACATCCGGCAGTGCCTTCTGCTTCTTCCGACAATATAGAGAAATCCAGGTATTTTAAATGCTATCGTTGTGTCTAATCGGTGACCAAAATATTACTCTGTATCTACTGTTGGTCTGTAGATAAGAAAATAAGCAGTTGTCCAGATCAAGCTAAAACAGTAGCAAAGTTCTGATTTTACCTGTAAAATATGTGCATATTATTTAATTTACTATACATTTGAAAGGAGTTTTAACACGTTTCTGATATCTAAAGGTTAGTTGAGGCTCCGAGTATAATTCGTGAAAATGATTTGATAATAGAATGTGTTCATGAGGAGAAAATTAGATTCAAACTGCGCATTCATAGTGGACGCAGTCCAGTAAACAAAGCTATTTCAACAACGCAACACAGCCTCCATTGATATTCTAAGTAACGCAGTCCAGCCACCAACACGAAATAAATAAGATAGTGTAAACTATATTCCTACGCTATTATTGTTTCAGGAAAAGAAAGTCAGCATCCAGATTATCATTCAAAGTTACGTTGATTAACATATATCTATTACCTGAATCAATGTCCCAAATTGCTATATTGTATCGTTTAAGACCTAGAAATATGGCAATTCAATAGCGTATTTGGCAGAACAGTCGAGCGCAAGATGACAACGTATTGTAATATGTTTATTACAAACCAATTTGTGGATAGGGTTAAATATATATATAATTGGATAGTGGTGAGACTTTTTATAAGAAGTAGAAATGCGAAACAATTAACTTTTCGATGATGCAATAAAAGCTGTTGGGGAAGGTTACATTATTATAATAACTAGTATTTAAGATATCAGGAAAATATCAAATAATTGGAGAGTTGGTGAGTTAATGTAATTTTGGATGATCTTTCCAACAGTCCATCAATATTGCTAGCTACCATAAATTCATGATTTCAGCTGTATTTGACAGCTTGTATATATTTGCAGAATGGATTGAGACACGATGTAGGTCTATTAAAATAGCCCTTTATATTCAATTTTGTCCAAAGTTGCTCCATTTCGGCCACACCTGTACACACATTGTGCTATCTACCTTTGGCTGTGATTGCGTTCAGCTTCAGATATAAAGCAACACTGAGTCGCGGACTGCGTTGGGCAGATGGATGGACTGCGACTATTATAAATTCCAATTTTCTATGTAATTGTACGTTTTCCGCTTACCAAATATCACACGAAGATGTAATTGTAACAACAGAACATGAATAATTATATTAATTCGATGTCATTTCTGATTCCTTTGTTTAAATCGGTATATTAGGGACAAATATTGACAAAATTACATTTTTGTGGCAGATTTCGAATTCATTTGTGTTCATGCTAAACTATTGGACAGCCGAGCACCAAGAATGCCATTGCAGATGGAGTATGAATATGTTGATCACCGACTGGAACATACTAGCTATTCTGTAGAATATCCAAACCAATAATCTACCCCAAATCCTAACATGCCTTCCAAATTAAGTTTGGAATTACCGCCATTGTTCAGCTATAATGCGTTGTATCCTCGTTTTGAATTACGCGAGTCGCAGTCCGTGGCTTCGCCCTCGTTTTGCTTATCCCCCGTGATAAAGTATATAACAGAATGCAAGAATCGTATCTGATATACGTCAAAGATCATACCATTTAACAATGTGTAAGCATCTATCATTGTGATAAGGCAGGGGAAAAACATCCTTGTACATGGTAACTTGAGACTTTTGGATCTGTCTGTCATGCCTTCTTTGTTTTTTGTGTTACCACCAAAAATTGATGTATTGTCATGGCTTCCATTTTATTGTGAATGGCATCCAGCATCTAGTACTGCATTTGTTGTTTTTTGTTATCATTTGCAATCACATAAGAAGTAATGTTCAGATTAATTTAAATTCATGAAGAAACTGTTACCTTCTAACAAAATCAATTATTTAAACAAGGCATTAACATGACAAAATGTCACCACCTAAAACAATTTGGTCAATTTAAAGCAAGTTGAAAAAATACCTCTTTGACTTTTTTTTGACATTGAGAATGTCATTGAAGGTCAAATGTAAAGTCAGATTTGAACTTCTGAGAACATGTAGATGATTTTGAAAAAAAAATTAAGTAAATTTGAAGCAAGTTGAAAAAAGACCTTTTTGACCTTGAAAAGGTCATTGAAGGTCAAATGTCAAATCGAAAGTCAGATTTGAACTTCTGAGAACATGTAGATGATTTTGAAAAAAAATTAGTCAATTTGAAGCAAGTTGAAAAAAGACCTTTTTGACCTTGAGAAGGTCATTGAAGGTCAAAGGTCAAATCTAAAGTCAGATTTGAACTTCTGAGAACTTGTAAAGTCAAATATGAACTTCTGAAAAGATGTAGATGATTTTGAAAAAAAAGTTTGGTCAATTTGAAGCAAGTTGAAAACAGACCTTTTTTGACCTTGAGAAGGTCATTAAAGGTCAAATGTCAAATCTTAAGTCAGATTTGAATTTCTGAGAACATGTAGATGATTGTGAAAAAAAAAATTAGTCAATTTGAAGCAAGTTGAAAAAAGACCTTTTTGACCTTTTTTGAACTTGAGAAGGTCATTGAAGGTCAAATGTCAAATCTAAAGTCAAATCTAAAGTCATATTTGAATTTCTGAGAACATGTAGATGATTTTGAAAAAAAATTTAGTCAATTTGAAGCAAGATGAAAAAATACCTTTTTGACCTTTTTTGACATTGAGAAGGTCATTGAAGGTCAAATGTCAAATCTAAAGTCAGATTTGAATTTCTGAGAACATGTAGATGATTTTGAAAAAAAAATTTAGTCAATTTGAAGCAAGTTGAAAAAAGACCTTTTTGACCTTGAGAAGGTCATTGAAGGTCAAATGTCAAATCTAAAGTCAGATTTGAACTTCTGAGAACTTGTAAATTCAAATATGAACTTCTGAAAAGATGTTTTTTTTAGTCAATTTGAAGCAAGTTGAAAAAAGACCTTTTTGACATTGAGAAGGTCATTGAAGGTCAAATGTGAAATCTAAAGTCAAATCTAAAGTCATATTTCAATTTCTGAGAACATGTAGATGATTTTGAAAAAAATATTTAGTCAATTTGAAGCAAGATGAAAAAAGACTTTTTGACCTTTTTGACATTGAGAAGGTCATTGGAGGTCAAATGTCAAATCTAAAGTCAGATTTGAATTTCTGAGAACATGTAGATGATTTTGAAAAAAAAATTTAGTCAATTTGAAGCAAGTTGAAAAAAGATCTTTTTGACCTTTTTTGACTTTGAGAAGGTCATTGAAGGTCAAATGTCAAATCTTATGTCAAATCTTATGTCAAATCTAAAGTCAGATTTGAATTTCTGAGAACAAGTAGATGATTTTGAAAATTTTTTTTAGTCAATTTGAAGCAAGTTGAAAACAGACCTTTTTGACCTTTTTTGACCTTGAGAAGGTCATTGAAGGTCAAATGTCAAATCTTAAGTCAAATCTTAAGTCAGATTTGAATTTCTGAGAACACGTAGATGATTTTGAAAAAAAAATTCAGTCAATTTGAAGCAAGTTGAAAACAGACCTTTTTGACCTTTTTGACCTTGAGAAGGTCATTGAAGGTCAAATGTCCAATCTAAAGTTAGATTTGAAGGTCAAATGTCCAATCTAAAGTCAGATTTGAATTTCTGAGAACATGTAGATGATTTTGAAAAAAAAATTTAGTCAATTTGAAGCAAGTTGAAAAAAGACCTTTTTGACCTTGAGAAGGTCATTGAAGGTCAAAGGTCAAATCTTAAGTCAGATTTGAACTTCTGAGAACTTGTAAAGTCAAATTTGAACTTCTGAAAAGATGTAGATGATTTTGAAAAAAAAATTTGGTCAATTTGAAGCAAGTTGAAAACAGACCTTTTTGACCTTTTTTTACCTTGAGAAGGTCGAAAAGGTCAAATGTCAAATCTAAAGTCAGATTTGAATTTCTGAGAACATGTAGATGATTTTGAAAAAAAAAATTAGTCAATTTGAAGCAAGTTGAAAAAAGACCTTTTTGACCTTTTTTGACCTTGAGAAGGTCATTGAAGGTCAAATGTCAAATCTAAAGTCAAATCTAAAGTCATATTTGAATTTCTGAGAACATGTAGATGATTTTGAAAAAAAAATTTAGTCAATTTGAAGCAAGATGAAAAAATACCTTTTTGACCTTTTTTGACATTGAGAAGGTCATTGAAGGTCAAATGTCAAATCTAAAGTCAGATTTGAATTTCTGAGAACATGTAGATGATTTTCAAAAAAAAATTTAGTCAATTTGAAGCAAGTTGAAAAAAGACCTTTTTGACCTTTTTTGACTTTGAGAAGGTCATTGAAGGTCAAATGTCAAATCTTATGTCAAATCTAAAGTCAGATTTGAATTTCTGAGAACACGTAGATGATTTTGAAAAAAATTTTTAGTCAATTTGAAGCAAGTTGAAAACAGACCTTTTAGACCTTTTTTGACCTTGAGAAGGTCATTGAAGGTCAAATGTCAAATCTTAAGTCAAATCTTAAGTCAGATTTGAATTTCAAAGAACACGTAGATGAATTTGAAAAAAAAATTTAGTCAATTTGAAGCAAGTTGAAAACAGACCTTTTTGACCTTTTTTGACCTTGAGAAGGTCATTGAAGGTCAAATGTCCAATCTAAAGTTAGATTTGAAGGTCAAATGTCAAATCTAAAGTCAGATTTGAATTTCTGAGAACATGTAGATGATTTTGAAAAAAAATTTAGTCAATGTGAAGCAAGTTGAAAAAAGACCTTTTTGACCTTGAGAAGGTCATTGAAGGTCAAATGTCAAATGTCAAATCTAAAGTCAGATTTGAACTTCTGAGAACATGTAGATGATTTAGAAAAAAATTGAAGTCAATCTAAACAGTATTTGTTAAGTTATAGGAAGTTGTAAGAAATTGTTACAGACGCCGGACGCCGGACGCCAACCTCCAACCACCAACCGCCAACCACCAACCGCCGTCGCAAAAAAACGGAGACCATAACAATATGTCACCACTTTTGGTGGTGACATAAAAAATCATATAGTGATCATCTATAGGGATGTTACAGAGATCTTCGAATTAGGCATTTTTGTAGTGTGTTAGGCTATAAAATGAGCTAGGCTATTTGGTTGGATTGAGAGAGTATTTTTTCATGGATGTCGATCATTTCATATCGCACGGTCCTGTACAATATTGGCAGACAAGTTTAACAAGTTAGCTAATGGCTACACCGCTTTAAGTAACTATGATATATTAATAACACAACCAGGTAACTAATATTTTATTGTTCAAGCTTTTTTATTTGATCTGTAATTGTATTCAAGAATGCATAATATGATAGCCTGGATAGGTGTATATATTAAAATCTCTGTAAAATTCACATTCAGAGATATGAGTTTAATTCTGTTTTTATGTCACCACCTCAAGTGGTGACAATGTTATAGTCTCCCAACTTTTTTGTAGATGGTGTTTGGTATCTGTAACAAATGGCAGGTGGTGACATTTTGCATGTTAATTGCTAGTAGGTTACATCTATTCATGTATAAGATATAGTATGCACATGTATGTAGGAGCATTAATCACCTGTGCTGATGCAATGCTGAACTCAACTGCTGATATTACCATTTAGAGGTTTGATAGCGTGTACCAAATGTTTACCATGGGGTGTTAAGGGAGTCATTTCTCAATTGTTCATACATGTTCCTGTAAATAATTCAAACATGACAGACTTCTCATAAATGGGTGTCTTGGGAATGTATAAAAAACTTTGAATGACATAAAATATGAGAAACACCTTTATCACAAATTTATGACAAAAGTGTAAAAAAAACAATTGAATCTACAAATATTTCAGAAAGGGAATAATGATTGAATTGAATAATGCTTTGTTTTCAAACCAAAAATGGAGGGAACGCCTCATATATTCATACATGCTGAGCGCCAAATACTTCATTTGGTTGTCATGTAGGGACCAACTACATGTCGCTGTCCTTTGGGAATATACGTATTGTCACTCACGATTCCTGAATTTATATTTTGTTAGTAAAATTCATGTAATATTATAATGTAGTTCTTCAAGAAACATCATGTCCCTTACTCTGACAATATCATTGTGTTCTAAACTTTTCTTTGAAATTCTGCAATTTTCTTGTAAGAGACATGTACACGTATATGGAATTAATTTTTATCTTAGGAAAAAGGGCCAGTACCTCCATATGGAATACTCCATAGGAGGGTCAACAATTACTGATTTTGCACCAACCTTTCAAGACCTCAGATAGTACACATAAATTTAAGTTTGGATACATATTTACTGTAGAGTGAGGAAATGTGTTTAATCATCAAAGAATGTGCCTTCTATTAATGTTTTCTCTTTTTAATATTTGAACATGCTTAAAACAGATTTATCTATTAGAGTATATGTAACATCAGTTGGAAGCAACATCACAATCCAAGTTTTAGTTTCAGTTTTATATTTTTCTAATATGTTATATACAGTGTAAAATGCCATTAAAATAATACCAGTATTCGACCTGTTTATACAGAAATGAACACATATTTGTGCATAAACCTGTATTTCATAAGGGACACAAGTGGAAATTTATTTTTGTAGAACAGGCTTTATAAGTAAATAAATGAATTTATGTACCTATTGTAGACTACTTAGTATGTTATTAAATATTTCAGTTTTTCTGTACATGTAAACATGATTATTCATTAATGTTTGAAAAATAAATTTTTCTAAGATTTGCAAAAATATTTTTCTTGTCATTTAAAAATGGAATGAATCCTTCATGAATGATTCATACATACATGTACATGTACACATAAACAGTCACATCCAGCGAAGCCTGTCAAATGGAATACCACCAAGTAGAACCCTCAAGTCCAAATACCCATTCTGATAGTGAAACATCTCCTATTACACACTACTATACCTTGCATTAGGTGTTCATGAGCAACCCATTTGGCTTATTAGTAATGATTATGTATTTGTTTTTATTTGTCTGTTCCTTATGAATGGTTTATCGGTTGAAAATTAGATGCTAGTAAGGCACTTTCAAAAATATATTAAACAATTCAATTAGACAAACAAAGTATCTTATGCATTTCTAGGTGTTAGGTATAGTAGTGTGTATTAGTGGAACACCAATTGAAGTACCAAAGGTATTTCAATTTCATAGGTATTTCATAGGTATTTCACTGTATTTGATATGGCCAATGGTACAATTCATAAATGCATGAAATAAATGTATTTAAGTTTGAACAAAACTATGAGATGAATATATGATATACATACATGTATCAAAATGATATCCCTCCATGAAAATACAATATGTCAATAGAGAGAAAATTAGAAATTCAATTCCATTTATACTAAAATAATTCCAGTCCAGATATTTTGTTTGTCCACCTGATTATGTACATCATCTAGAGTACATCTGCCAATCCTTATGAACTTTTTTTTGTAGAACCTCACGTTACTGTTCACGTTCAGTTCATCAATATATTCTCCTCTCTCGTCATCAACAATGTCAATGGTTGCTGCTTCAAGTCATTATTTAGTCAAACTTCATTCTTTTAAATGAATTACCACCAGCTCCCCCACCTCTAGACCCCCCTCTGAATCCACCCCCACCACCACCACCTCCTCGACCTCTAAATCCCCCACCCCCTCTTCCTCCGCTAAAGCCACCCCCTCTTCCTCCCCCAAAGCTACCTCTGCCCCTACCCCCACCTCCTCTGCCTCCGCCGCCGCGTCCACCACGGCCACCTGAAAATAAAACAAATATCTCCAAATAATACAATATCTTCAATTGTGTGCAAATATTCTTCTTTTCAGTCAAGTATAGCAGAGGTCCAACAGAAAACAAATATTTCATATTATTTCAATATGAGTCTTCGGCATAGTGAAAGTAAATTTTAGAAAATTACAAGCACTTCATTTCATTATTCATTCTAATCTCAAAATAAAAAAAACTATGCTCATATATTAGACATAATTCATATTGAATCAAAGTGTTACACTTCAATCAGATAAAGAAACCAAACACATGAATCACTCATGTGACATTAAATAAATGTCCCTCCAGTTTTTGTGACATCTTTTATCATAATGGAATAAAAATAAAAGAATATGGCCATAATATGACATATATCTTACCTCTTCCCCCTCTGCCACCCCTGCCTCCAGTGGGCTTAGCACCTGGCAGGAATCTGTCCATTGGCAGCAACTTATATGGGTCAATGTAAAACTGAAATCATGATACAGAAATCCCTGAATCTAGAACAATCTAAAAGTACAATGAAACCTGCGGAATGGGAAACCCCTAGAAAAGGAACACCTAAAAAGTGGAGTCCAGACCAACTGAGTTAATACTGTAATAAGTGGAAAACATCCCGAAGTGGAACACATTTTAGAGGTACCCAAGGTGTTTCATTTGGACAGGTTGTACTAGACTGTGTATTTATCATCTCATCTTACTTAAGAAATGACTTCACCCATTGAAAAAACAAAAGTGATGAGAATGTTTATGAGAATTTGAGGGCCCTCAGTTGAAATTTCAATTGTATTAAAAATCATGAAAGGTATGATACATGTATTTTGAATCAGCAGGCACTCATTTGGGTCTGAATAAAGACCAAGAAGAAAAATTGTACCAAGTTGTGTTAAAGTGACATGTTCCAATTACCATAATAACTTATAGCTCTTTACAATGAATGACTGATCCATACCTTTTGGTCTGTTGAGAATGAGGCAGCTTTTACGTCATCTGATAATTTTACAGAAAAATACTGACTAAGAGTTAAGGAAATATTTGATACCTCATAAATTTTCAAGAAAATATTTAGGAAGTATTTTAATAAGTGTTATCAATGAGAAACACATTCATGTTTTTAACATGTGAAGACCCATATTTCATCACTCATTCATATATTGTTAAAATCTTCACAAAGGATACAAAGTCCCTGATTGGTCCGAATATTTCATCAATTTTGCCGATCTGTTGTTTATTCTGTAGAAAGACTGGTGCGTTAAAGTATGGAACTTTGGCATTGGTACACTTGCAAACAACATCATCCTCACACGGCATCATGTAGTTGCCTAGTTCTGAAAAATAATCACTTTTTATGATATTTCACACACACTGACAGATACATAGATAACAAAATACAGGGTGAGTCACAAGCACTAGCTCACAGGTTTGGAGCTCAGGTGTCAATCTGGGACTCTTATTTTAAACAAATCGATATATACTACAATGAACCTGTAAAGTTAACTAGACACATATAAGTATGAAAATATATGTATGACATATGTATGTACTAATATTTATGCATACATAGATTTGTATCTTACCAACAACTGTATCTGGTGGTCCCTGATCAAAGCTTCTGTTGAAACCACCTCTTCCTCCCCCTCGGCCACCTCGACCACCTCCTCCTTTAAACAAACAAATAGATTACATAATTATGATATCAACCACGCTGAAAGATTCACATATTATGAATCATAGTTGAGGTTTAATCTGTATGCAATTGTTAAGAGGCAGATACGTCAAATTAGGGACTAAATAGAACATCTTGTGTGCAACAGTTGATATCAACTCGTCGATAAAAATGCTATCAGGCAAAATCAATGAATATCCTATACATGTTACTGTGTACTGTATTTCCAGTAACTTTTACTTACAACTAACTTTTGCAAACTTGCAAAACATAGAAGTTGTAGTCACCAAATTCCAGTCATTTTTAAATTCACATCTGAGGATTTAACAGTGCTTAAACATTACTCCAATCAAGGTTCTCTCAAAATAGGTATCTTGAGAAAAAAGAACTAGATCATCAAGAAACTATTGCTGCCTTAAAGCACCCAGAGAAATTTCAAATGAGCAAAAAATGAATAGCTACAAAATCAAAATCCCACAATGCAAAACTGCACCAAAAACTACAAGGTACAAAAAATTATATTAATTCCCCCTCCCCAACCCTAGTGTTTACTAGTGAACATACCTCTACCTCCGCCTCTGAAGCCTCCGCCACCCCCTCTTCCTCTGAACGACATGGTAAGATTAGAAGCTGAAACAATGTATAAATACATGAGATAATTGTTCATAAAGAGATAATAACTATTGAGAAATAAACATATATAGACAAGGCATTAACATGCAAAATGTCTCAGCCGTTTGTTAAAGACACCAACCGCAGATCGCAAACCACTGCCACAAAAAACAGAGACCATATAACAATATGCTTGTCAAATGATGTCATTCAATGGCAGTTTTCTGACTAAAGATATATGTCAAAGGAAACTTCACATTTAAACGCACTTTTCATAACTATGAATTGGAGGTGCATGGGTCCCCAAAGCTAACATGAAGACCATGAATAATGAAGATGTGAAATTTTCTTAAACATATCTCTTTAGTCAGGAAATACATTCACATATAAGGAAAACCGATACAAAATTTTGTGACTTAACCTAAAAATATGGCTGCCATTTTTTATACTTTTGATTAACTTTACCGTTATCTATGCGTATCTAGACATTATCGGAAAGTATGAAGTCTCAAATCACCATGGTCTGGAAATGGTGATATAGAATCCAGGTGTCATTTATTTATGGTGAGCACTTTAGTAATTGAAAGCCCATGCATTCATAAGGGAACTCTTACATTTCCTTAAGGTGAAGTTAAAGTTAATCAAAAGTACAAAAAGATGGCAGCCATATTTTTTTGAAAAAGTCAGAAGATTTTGTATAATGTTTTCCTTGTATGTGCATGCATCTCCTGACTAAAACAAAGCAAGAAGTGCATATTTTCATGCTCCTTCAATGTTCCTTGGTAAGGTAAGATGATTTGTGGAAATTTTGGATTCTTACAAATGTGTCTCCATTGCACTCCTACTCCTTGAAATTTTAAAAAGTTATCCTCACTTCACTGTCTCCATGCTAGCTTTAGGGACCCATGTACCTCCAATTCATAGTTATAACAAGGCATTAACATGACAAAATGTCACCACCTAGTTGCTCACAATATTATGAGTTCAAACTGTCAGATTTGAATTTCTGAGAACTTGTAAAGTCAAATTTGAACTTCTGAAAAGATGGAGATGATTTTGAAAAAAAATTGGGTCAATTTGAAGCAAGTTGAAAACAAACCTTTTTGACCTTTTTTGACCTTGAGAAGGTCATTAAAGGTCAAATGTCAAATCTAAAGTCAGATTTGAATTTCTGAGAACATGTAGATGATTTTGAAAAAAAAAATTAGTCTGAATTTCAAGCAAGTTGAAAAAAGACCTGTTTGACCTTTTTTGACATTGAGAAGGTCATTGAAGGTCAAATGTCAAATCTAAAGTCAGATTTGAACTTCTGAGAACATGTAGATGATTTTGAAAAAAAAATTAAGTCAATTTGAAGCAAGTTGAAAAAAGACCTTTTTGACCTTTTTTGACTTTGAGAAGGTCATTGAAGGTCAAATGTCAAATCTTAAGTCAAATCTAAAGTCAGATTTGAATTTCTGAGAACACGTAGATGATTTAGAAAAAAAAATTTAGTCAATTTGAAGCAAGTTGAAAACAGACCTTTTTGACCTTTTTTGACCTTGAGAAGGTCATTAAAGGTCAAATGTCAAATCTAAAGTCAGATTTGAATTTCTGAGAACACGTAGATGATTTTGAAAAAAAAATTAGTCAATTTGAAGCAAGTTGAAAAAAGACCTTTTTGACCTTTTTTTACCTTGAGGAGGTCATTGAAGGTCAAATGTCAAATCTCAAGTCATATTTGAATTTCTGAGAACATGTAGATGATTTTGAAAAAAAATTTAGTCAATTTGAAGCAAGATGAAAAAATACCTTTTTGACCTTTTTTGACATTGAGAAGGTCATTGAAGGTCAAATGTCAAATCTAAAGTCAGATTTGAATTTCTGAGAACACGTAGATGATTTTGAAAAAAAAATTTAGTCAATTTGAAGCAAGTTGAAAACAGACCTCTTTGACCTTTTTTGACCTTGAGAAGGTCATTGAAGGTCAAATCTAAAGTCAGATTTGAATTTCTGAGAACATGTAGATGATTTTGAAAAATTCTTTTAGTCAATTTGAAGCAAGTTGAAAACAGACCTGTTTGACCTTTTTTGACCTTGAGAAGGTCATTGAAGGTCAAATGTCGAATCTTAAGTCAAATCTTAAGTCAGATTTGAATTTCTGAGAACACGTAGATGATTTTGAAAAAAAAATTTAGTCAATTTGAAGCAAGTTGAAAACAGACCTTTTTGACCTTTTTTGACCTTGAGAAGGTCATTGAAGGTCAAATGTCAAATCTAAAGTCAGATTTGAAGGTCAAATGTCAAATCTAAAGTCAGATTTGAATTTCTGAGAACATGTAGATGATTTTGAAAAAAAATTTAGTCAATGTGAAGCAAGTTGAAAAAAGACCTTTTTGACCTTGAGAAGGTCATTGAAGGTCAAATGTCAAATCTAAAGTCAGATTTGAACTTCTGAGAACATGTAGATGATTTAGAAAAAATTGAAGTCAGTCTAAACAGTATTTGTTAAGTTATAGGAAGTTGTAAGAAATTGTTACAGACGCCGGACGCCAACCGCCGGACGCCAACCACCAACCGCCGTCGCAAAAAAACGGAGACCATAACAATATGTCACCACTTTTGGTGGTGACATAATAAAAATTGCGTTTAAATGTGAGGTTTTCTTTGACATGTCTCTTTAGTCTGTCAGTGCATTCACATAGAAGGAAAGCAGATACACAAAATCTTGTGACTTTATCAAAAAATATGGCTGCCATGTTTTTGTACTTTTGATTAACTTTAACGTTACCTTAAGGTTCAGCTGGAAAGTAACATTTTGGTATTTTGTGTATTTCCTTGCTTTTTTCAGGAAAGTATCATTACCCTGTCTACTTTTAGTAAACCTGGAAACAGGTCAATGGTAGCTCCTGTGTTGTCTGGAAACTTTGAAAGAAAATTTGGAAGAATAGAAAGTGTGAAATATCAGAATTTCCTGGAGTTCCCATTGAACTCCTACTAGATATCCTTAAAGAAGACAATGTAATGGTACTTTCCGGAAAAAAGCAAGACAATTGACTAGGGGTGAGACGAGACGAAAAAATCCGATTCGAGTCGAATCCGATTCGAGTCCGATTCGAGTCAGAAAATGACGATTCGAGTTTCGAATCCGTTTCGAGTCGCGCGGGTACTGTTTTTTAAGAAAGTTCCACGTAGGCATACTCTTGCAAGCATATACGTCATACCACTACTCCCTTCTCTTTTGGATGGAAGCCAAAATGCTCCCAAACGGGGGCTTTTAGATTCTTTGATGGGTTTTTCAAAGGAATTGACTTCGGCATGTTTTTTCTTATTTTGCGGAGTTAGGTTATACGCTAGAAATACGAACGGCAGTGTAATTGCTGAATGAACACGCACTGTTTAAATATTCGCAATATTAATGCTTCCCACTAAGTTAATCGTGTTATAGGCATATGAAATACTATTTTCCCATCGATAAATAAGTAAACTGATGATGCATTTTACTAAAAATATGAATCAAATGATTGCCAATACACTATACATTTTAGATAAAGTGCGAACAACATCGCTTTTGACCGTTCGTATTTTTAATGCGTCAATGGTGGAAAGCCGGAAATATAAACAAACACAATTCGTCGTAAGTTTATTCTGATTTTATTACATATATTCTTTCATTTATGTGAACATACAATATAATAATTTAATACAAGCATATCCAAGTCATTGAAACTTATATATTCAACGCAATATCGAGTAAAAACATGCATATTGACAGTACTTTTCTGAATTTTTTTATTTTTACGAATTTTTTTCTCAACTAGAAAATGATTCGATTCATCAACTTCGACTCGATTCGACTCGAAGCCCCAAACCCGCGTATCCTCAACTCATCAGGTTGTCGTCTCACCCCTACAATTGACACATGTCTTCATACTTTATTTTGTACCAGAAAATAACATGTGCTGGTATAGCAATAGTTCAACAAGTTAAACCCAATACCACGGCTTTCATTTTTTAATCTGAATGTTCGTGTTGCCGTGGTTGGGTTTAACTTCCGTGCTATGCTTTCGTTTGTTGCAAATTCCCACCATCAGTTATTAATTAAACGCGCATCGAATTTCATGCGGAACCATAGGCCATCATTAAAATTTTTTGCATCAAGGGCTGAATAGGCACGGAAGTTAAACCTAGGGCGGGCCACAAGATATGTCAGATAAGAAATAAGGCCCAGACTAGGTTTAACTTGTTGAACTAGTATAGCAATAGCAATTTTTTTTACCAAAATGTTACTTTCCAGCTGTACCTTAATTTACAGTGGATCAAATATCATAAAATATTGTGATTATGAACATGCTAGAAGTTAACTTTTTTATGATCTCGACAAAGAGTATGTCACATTTTCTTGTTTAGAGATCTAGATCACTCAATTATCGCCCACGAAAATTCTAAAAATAGTTTATTGTATAGATATAGCAGTTATGACAAGATTATCTTGTTCAATTTTGCACAGGATTTATAGAGCATATATAGCTTGAAAATACAAAATCCACTAGAAAGCTATTATATTAGCTTTATTCAACGAAAACAAAACAAAATATGAACTTACTTTGCAAACCACGCTGATCTGCTGTCGGGTCAATGAGTGCAACTATCAATCTGTGGTCGTTTAAAGTCGCAATATAAGCAATATTTCTTTATCCATGTATATATTAAATAAAAGAATGTAAGAAAATTTAGATGAAAAACACATTTATGATAAAACTATCGAGCAAAGGTGATTTGCTAATTGTTTTAAATAAATATTTGCTGTAAAGCCAGACCACTTTACGATATTTGATCTTTTTCATTTTTAAACATTTTTTAAATTTCGTCCACAAAACGACTCAGATACTGATCAGTAATAAATAGTTGTCTTTTATTTTAAGCAGCATGCCTTTAAAAAACAGGTAAGCTTACTTTGACATAACTTCATGATGATTTGATGTGATCTTAGTCTTGGAATATAGATTAGAAATCAAGAGTACATACAGATCTGGGTAGGCCTACAGTATACAGTGAAGAACATAAAGAATTACTATAGCTATGAAAATTACATGCTGTCACACATGTAATAAATTCTTATCTCAGTGTATCCAGTGCTCTATTTTCTCTGTCCTAGTAAGTCCAGATATCAAGGAGTTTGTGTCCATAATGACAAATAGGAACTTAAAAATTTGAAGTGGATATTCACATTTGTTGTCATAGATTTCAAAATGGCGGAACTGCATTTTGAAAGCTGTCACATGTCACGTTGCATTCTGGGAGCCAATCATCCTTGCGGCGTAATCAGGCTCCAAAATCACCTCAACATTTGAAGAGGCTGGATTAAACATGTGAAAATCACTTCAAATTTTTAAGTTCCTAATTGTCATTATGGACACAAATTCCACTACATTTGTACTTTCCAGTATGGAGAAAATAAAGCACTCAATTCACTGAGGTATGAATTTATTATATGTGCGACAGAATGTCTTTTTCATAGTGTTAGTCATTATTCATGTTCCAAATTTTAAATGCGACACCGAAGACAACAATGTATCAATATTGATCTTAGACGAATTTTTTGAAATTTAGATTGTCCATTTTGCCAGTCACGTGTCTGATTACGTGTCTAGTTAGTAGTTTCTATTTGATATCATGTGACTTGTGACGTGTCGGTCAACCATTTCTTCAAAGAAAGTTATTAATTTATTAGAAAATGGTTATTGGACATCTGCTGCTGAATACAGAAGAAAATGTTCCAAGGCAGCGATTTTAAATATTGTAGGAAGTGCTGCTGAAGCTACTGACTTTTTTAAAATCAATTTTATAAATGATATTACACTAGGAACCTTATTGATTTTATGAATCATAAAGACCTGAAATGATGCTTTGAAATAAGACTGTCAATTATATGAAAACGCTACACATAAAGTGGTGAATAACAACAAACTTCAGTTGAAAGATCGCAACGTTCACTACTATGTTCAATGCCATTGTTGCTACAAATGGGAATTTAATTTAAAATATTTTTGAAAAAATTGCTATAGGCCATCCTGCAAATGTTTTTTCTGGTACAAAATAAACATGAAGGCATATGTGTATTTCATTACTTTTTTCAGGAAAGATTCTTTGCATTGTGTACTTTTAGTAAACCTGGTAAAAGGTCAATGGCAAATCCAGGAAATTCTGATATTTTAAGAAAAATCATTCAAAATGGCCGCCTTTTCAATTTTTCAAATTTCTTCTCCAAGTTTCATGATAACACTGGATTGCTATTGTTATAACAAAAATAATAACCACTGCCCTCTGCGTGCACAGCGAGCATTCTACCACAAGACCACCATCCAGCTATGAAACTGAGTAATTTAATGCTACTAATATTGAACATTCTAATTGAGTAGTGACGTCACATTCTAAATTTAGAAACCTTCCAAAAATAATATTGTCGTCGACAATAAAAGCAATTCAAAGAACAATCCTCATAATGACACATTTATTGTGAGTATTTGTACACACGATTTGCCCCATTTGTTCATAATTGTCGTTTGACTCAAAATCTTACAGTTGGCCCTGGAACAACCCAAGATTGTGTTCTAGAGCAATGTGCAGGTTCAACATTTAAATATAGTTCAAGGGTGGTTCAAGTGAACTCTGGCAACAAGCTAACACCCCAGTCACATTTGTTGTACGGAGGCCGTGCGTCGACCGCAGATCAATTAAATCAGTGTATTTCTGCGGCGAGCGTAGGAAAACTATGCTCGCCTTGTGGCCTCCGTACGGCGTATCCAGTTTTTTACAGGCCGCAGGGTCGCCGTAGAAATTATAACTCGGAGTTATAATATTTGTTCATTTCTGAGGTCCCCATAGAAATGAACTGGCTCAACAAGATTGAATCATTATTTGTCAATGTTTCATGATCACTTTTCATTTGATATTACATCCTAGCACTATGAATAACATTTAAAAATTGTCCCGATGTAAACAAAATGAAAAAGTATTATATTTATCAACAGAAATTTAAAATTCACCATGCGGCTGCCGTGGGAAATGTGACGGCAAAAGTATGAGAGCGCAGAAATTCCACGGCGAGCGTAGAAATGTTACTGGCCACAGAAATGATAGACCGCAAATATCTGTTATTTTGAATTGTATTGTTAATTTGTGGTTAATGTTGATGGATATGTTATGAATGCATAGTACAGTCTGTTACACTGCTTCAAAGCAACCAGTTGAACCTAAAATATAAGAAATCCTAAGATTATTGTGCAATGTTAATTTATGTTTTGGACAATATTAAGTACATTTTTTCTTATTTATTTCTTAAACATAGCGTCCTTATTGACTGATATGTCATTGTGATGATATCAAAGAGTCAATAAAAAATATTTATATATAAGTGTATGTATGTATAGTGTCAGTTCAAAGTTGACTATTACTGAAACTTTGTATTTGTCATTCTGCTCTTAAAGTCTCCGATAAATCGGACTACGTATACCGCCGTGTTTACATTAGGGGATTAGAAGAGTTTACTTTTATTTAGGTATGCAAGCAATATCAATATTAGGCCTTCACGCATGTACTCGTGTGTACAATCAGCATGCCCTTCAATATTATATAAACCATGCTATTCAAGTACTACATAATGTACACTATTTATGTGTGTACTACATGGGAATACGATTCCCTGGGAAACACAACACAAATACTTTTTATATGTTCAAAATGAGCCATTTGATTGATGCATACACTAAATAGCTTCATAAATAACATCTACAAAGTATATCTAATAGGAATTTTCAATTTCAATGGTGAAACTTGCCTGTTTACGATTATACGGGAAATCAACATGGGACAAAGATTGTTCACCTTCCTGACTTACCTCTGAAGCCTGTACCTTGTAATCTCTTTATATAGGTTAGCGAGAGCGCTGCGCCTGCGCAGTTTTAAACTTTGGCGCACACTTTAACAGTTTTCAAGATATCATTTAGATCATATTTGTTTTGTAAAAATGGTTTGTTTCAAAATCCAAAGTTATATTTCTAACATTAAAATTCATATTAGTTCACCCTATTATTTGATTATTGTAGGAATGAATGCTGAAAAACATAATATTAGTATAATCACTATGGATTACTGAAATGGCATAGATTGGAAATAAGAATGGTTTAGCAATCATGAAATGGTTATGTTATTTTAGACTTATTGTTGTATTTTGAAGGGCTCTCAGAAGCCCAAAATTTTTGTTTTATGCGACCTGGACTAACTGTTCTGTCTCAACGAATGAAGTTCAGTGTTCTCTCGGTGGGGATACAGTGAAGCCTTCTGTCCATCAGTTCGTCCATCAGTCCGTCTGTCCCGCCATACTAATGATATACATATATTATACTAATGATATCTATATACCTAATTTTGACTGCAATGGTGTTATTTTACCATGTGTCTCCTATTTTAATTGTATTTATTTTCTTAAGTACCATCTTATATATTCAAGGCATTTATTAACTTCATTGATTGTACAATTGCATTTGGTAGATACTAAAACAAATATATCAAAGTTAGCTGTTAAGACAGCTTTAATTAACATGTTTTCTTTATATCTTATTCAGATCATACAGAAAAAGATCTCGTTCTCATAGCAGATCAAGATCTAAAAGTCCTTCTTCAAGAAAGAAGCGCAGGTCGAGATCACGTAGCAGAGATCGAGATCGCAAAAGAAGAGATAGAGACAGAGATCGGGGAGGAGATAGAAACCGTGATCGTGATAGGAGGAGATCAAGAAGCCGAGACAGATCAAGGCGCTCAAGAAGCAGAGATAGAAAGGAGAGAAGAAGGTATAAGTTATACCATTTTTTATAGTGTTAAAAAGGTATGTTCAGACAGTCATTTTACCAAATCCTGCTTTTCTGCTAAAATATATCTGAATTGATTGCTATGGATGGCAGAGATGACAGACTTTACAGTGTTCTCCACAGGATTTTTTCTCAAGTTGGGACTAAATTCAACAATTCACAATTCAGACCAAAATTTATCAAAATATGCCAATTTTTCATGATTTTTCTTATTTTCAAGTGGGTGCAAATAGCTTTTCAGGTGGGTGCAAGGCTGTTTTGAAAAACTCAGGTGGGTACTGCGCCCACTCGGTTTAATGCAGGGAAGATCCCTGCTTTATATAGTAATCTGGTCCCTATCTATAGTGCATGTTATCTAATCCATGTTGAAGTACACTACCATTTATTCTCATGCTCTTTTTGTGGACTTTATACAGTGTATATTTATACTTTTTCATGTTGTAGAAGTCGAAGTCCAGAAAGGGACAAGAAGAGAAAGGTGAAAAGCAAGAGTCCAGAGCCAAAGCATAAAGAGGGCGCTCTGTCTGTTAAAGATGAACCTCTTTCAATGGTAGGTATACATGACTTTGTGAAAGCAGGTGTGAAAGCATGATTTTTAGAAACGCAATCTTCAATCGCAATATTTTGTCATTTTGACAAGAAACAAACAGGTTTTCGACATGGTTGCATGAAAATTTCAAATTTTCAACAGATGTAGCAACTAGTTGCTCTAATTCTGGGTAGATCACAAGAAACCAAAGGTTTATAATATACAATTATTGACCTCTCCAGAGGTTTACTGTCAAAATTA